CATTCAAATGAAGCAGTAGCGATCTAACTGTAGCGGTGAAAACGTAGCTTGGTGACGCAGATTTGAACGCAGGACAATAAAGATTACGCAAACTCTAAAACAATTTGAAGCAGGTTGTTTTTACAGTTCGGTCCATCTGCCCCTTATAAACCAATTCCTCTGTATTTTTTCTTTTTTGTATCATGGCATTTCTTGAGTTTGAACTGTTTTGATTCTCTGATCTTGCGAATCGACAGCTTTGCAACGTCTTCAGAGTTAACTACTGTTGTGATTTAGGGTTTTTACAAAAAATAAACTGAAGTAGATTTTGCATCACAGGAGGCCTTTAAATTAGAAACAATTAATTCGTATCTTTCAATTCTACAATCTCTAACACTTGCTGATGACATTTTGAGAACAACACAACAGGTAAAAGCTGAAATGTAAGCTTTTTCGTTGTGCCCGTCGGTGTCAAGTGGACGTCTTTTCGGCTCAACCACAAGAGGAGCTGTCCACAATACTCAGTTTACGGGCGAGCGGCGTAAAAAAATGGATTGCAGCGAGCGTGTCTGAAAGGGCCGTTTTTATGACTCCATTACGCATAACATTTGTATTTTGTTGGCGCTGTGTTTTTGATTAGCATGAGGCTGATTTTGGAGAAGTGCTTAAGCCGCGAGTCTTAGCTGCTCATCGAGTTCCCCTTCACGCTAATGAACAGTGGAGCCGGCGCGTGCTGAGTGCAGGCAGCAACCGCAGCCATAATGAGATTCTCTTACTACACTTCATATTTAAAATGCGGTTCCTAGGACTCTTTGTGCCTTTTGCAAATCAGAGAAATAAATTGTGTTTTATTTCGCTGCTGAACAAGACCGAGGTGTTTCCGGAAAAAAAAGTTGGCGCAACGGGAGAGGCAGGCTGCAGAGTTTTTGCATGTCGAACCGAGCTTGTTAAATGTGGAAACGTACAAATTTGGAGTGATTTGAGTGACACTGTTATGGTGTAATCGATTTCCTAAGCAGAGATAATGAAGTGGGCCGTGTCTGCAAGTGCGTCTGTGCCAAGTTAGGTCTAAAATGCTTCTTCTAATGATCTCGGAATCAATCATGATGCTCACCGGGTTATTGCAGTTAGACAATATGCATTCAGTCGAGCACGTTGGTTGTCATGGGGATTTGTACACGTTTTATTTTTTACCGTAAATGAGCATCTACTACTGAAGATTTTGAACAAGCACGAAGAAGAGGAACATTGTCGAGAACCTAGCGCATGGTAACCTGTGATTAATAATCTAATTGGGTCCAGGATTAGGCATATTTCTGGGAATCTTTCAATTTCTGCCTTCAGAGAGTCCTTGATTAGTTTTCTGCGAATCATGGTATACTTACTGTGAACTAAACATGTCTTCCTAAAAATGTGAGACCGGCTTCCATTCTGACAATGTTCAAATCCAGGTTAAAAACGGTTATGTTTAGGTGTGCACACAACTGAGGGATTGTATCTTTTAAATATACTGTGATTATTTATGACTTTTATGCCTTGTTTTGTTCAGACTTTGAGTTAAGATTAAGAGATCCTTTATTCGACCCACAGTGGGGAAATTTCAGTTTTGCGTCACCAGTTACAGAACAGTTGGAAAGAGAAGCATACAGCACAAGATAAATGAACAATACCTCTACTAAATAAAATAAAACAAACTAGCATCGCTCGCTTCACTCGTAGACACAACCTGAGGAAGACCTATACGGTCGAAACATCGTTACAGTGTCTACAACCTTCTACTTACCTACATACTCTACAGTTAGGCTGGGAGTATGGCGAATGACGGACCTTCGTCTCGCCCCGTGGTCACCAACGTTGGTGGGTGCACAGCCACAGTGGTGACCGCCAGAGCCGAAGGACCTGATGGGTGTCAGGCAGCAGGGAGAGGGCCAGTGCATACACTGCTTCTTTTAGAAGACAGCCCCATGATAGGACAAACAAGCATAACACTTTAGCATATTAAAAAAGTATAAAATCTCTACCTTTGGCATAATAATAAAGTAATGTATATTCTAGTGCTTGTAATATATAGTTGTTTGTACGTCTGTACATGTTAGCAGCATGAGGGTCCGGGACAAAGTGACTAAGTAGAGCACTTTTTGCCACTTTTTATTGTATATTATGTATCCTGAACAGACTATATATATATATTTTTTTGCCTTTAACATGTTTGCACACTTCTGTCTTTTGCACAAATTTGAGTTCTGATTCTATGTGGCATGTAATTTTCTCCTGAGTGAGATCAATAAAGTCTATCTTATCTTAGCAGTGGACACATATAAATAAACGTGCCTTGCCTTACTTATCAGAAATCCTAGGTTCAATCTGTCCTGTGGTTCTCCGCACTAGTGTCGGTCCATGTCTTGCTTTCTATGGCTCTGTTGTGCTGAGTTGAGAGCCCTCTCTGTTCTCTTATGGTGATGAGCGACTCCAGCTTCACGCTCTGGCCACTTACTTTGTGTTCAAAACTTGTCTGGTTTTTCAGTACAGGATATGAAGCGTTGCAGTGTGCAAAGCCAATCAGTGCATGGAGTAGAACTTATTTTTAGAGGATGGGAAGCTGCCTCTATAATATCCTGTGAGTGTTTCTATCAACAAAAAGACCAACAGATAATTATTTTTTATTGTGGTTAGCGTTCCTCTCGGCTCACAGGTTACGCCTTGCCTATTAGCCTTCCTCATTCGTGGAAGCATTTTGATTATGGGTTTGGTTTTTATTCCTTGCAGACACATTTGTTCAGCAATAATAACTTAATATTCAATAACTGAAAGTATTATGTATGCATTTAATATGGACAATACACATTAGTAAACATCCATTTTCAATTCTAATTTAAAACATTTTCTTTTAAGGCCCTAAATCAGAACAGCATTATCTCGGCGGACTTAAAAAAACGTATTCTCTGATCTGTGTTTGCAAATTCAACAAACTGTTTACTCACTCATTACATTTATATCTATTGAGCATGTTTTAGTGGTAGGGGAAACTGGAGCACCCGAAGGAAACCTGCGCAGACACGGGGAAAACATGCAGGCCCTGTTCCGACCGGGATGCGAACCGAGGACCTTCTTGCTGAGGTTGCATTCAACTGTAATACGTCTTTGAGATTCAGAATCTTTTTGTGGGAAAGTCTCCCTGCTTCTATAATCGTCCGACTGAGCACTTTTTGAAGGGTGTTGGTACGTTGAATCTGGAAGCATAATGAATATTGTCGTGCTGAAGTGCTTGGGCTGGTTCCTCTGGTGTGTAAAGGTCAGAGTGACGGCCCCAGTGGAGCGGGACTGTGTGAGCAGATGTGGCTGACGCAAAGGGGGGGCCGACCTTTACTGGACTCTCCAGACACCTCTCCAGTCGAGGAGGATCACCCTGAGATTCTATATGACGGACGCTGCACATCTAGAAAACTGTATACATTTAGAAGTTTGTGGTTTTAAGCACAAGTCATTATCCAAGAGCAAAAAACTATCGCTTGAGTGGTGAAAAAGAGTTTCCTTCCAGTTTGTGAATCTGATCGTGGCTTTAAACTCCATATTTCAACTTTTATTGATTAAGCGGTTTATAACTTTAAGTACAAAGTATGCTTCATCTGAATATTGTTTATTGTTTAAATGTTCTGTGTTTTAAAGTCCCAAACCTGGAAGAAGAAAATGATTAGATAAACTTTTGATCTCACAATGGAGAAATTTACATGTCACAGTAAAACCCAAACAATATTTTTGTTTTGTCCTCGGTTTGATTCCATCGACGCCAGACTTTTCTGTGTAGAGTTTGCATGTTTTCCCCGTGTCTGCATAGATTTCCTCCTGGTGCTCCGGTTTCCCCTACCACTAAAAACATGCAGAATGGGTCTGGTGTGCGACTCCTTTATGGCGACTTTGCTACCATCTTTATGCGGAGTGAGAGACAAATGCCCACAACAGTTGTAAAGCGCTTTGTGGCTCTGGTCTGTGAAAAGCGCTATATAAATAAAGATACTTACATTAGTAAAATAAATATATTCTTGCATGTTTTAGTTTACCCACTATTGGCCCTCATTCACCAGGACAATATTTGGTTCTATGGACATGTAAACGAGCTAAACACAATGTTTCCTGTGACATGTGGAATTGTCATTGCACAAAATGTCTCAATAAGAATATACAATCCTACAGTATTTTGTGTGTGGTTTTGAAGAGCACTGCATTAAATGTTGTATTTTAATTTTGGAAAAAAAATATGGTAATCTTACCCATCACCCTCCCAATACCCATCAGCTCAATTTTTTACATTTTGTTACTTCTAACATATGTATACCTAATTACTCTAGTCTTAAACTTACTACATCACAGTGTCAAGATAGAATATTCTAGAGTAGGTCTAAACATTTTTTTAAAGAACCTATAATTAAAAAAAGAAAAAAGAAAAGTACTTTACAGGGGTTGTGAGAATGTAGTACACACTCCAATAGACGGAGTAGTCTGCTATTAGGGCAGGTCAAAGCACGCAGCCCTCACATTTCCATAGTGAAACAGGTAAACTGCAGCCATCAACAAAGTACTTCGTAGACATTATCTTTGAGCGATGACAGGAGGAAGACACAATGCGGACACTAACTAGTACGTAACAATATCTTCCTTTGTGTTGCTCAAGCTGTGGTGCGAGTGTCACTTGGGGTTCGCGGGCCCCTGAGTGATGCATAGATACCTGGGCATTTCATTTATTTACTAGATACTGGGTTTAAGATAGAGAGAATAATGGGTACACATTTCAGAACAGATGGATGTATAAAGATGTAGGTGTCGGCAGGTTAGAGATGTAGACATGTACTTGTTTATTATTATTATTACTACGTGTTTATTATTTGATAGGGACAGTATAAAAAGCATTGATACATATAGCTAACAGTTCATTTTCAGACCTGGTCCCTCAGACATAGAAATACATTTACATTATACATTTATCATGATAGAAACTAAGCGGAGATGTTTTTTTTGTGCTGCAGGTGGCGCTGTACAACACAGACCAGGAGGGCAGTGACAGTCCCAGGAGCAGCCTTAACAACAGCCTCTCGGACCAGAGCCTGGCCTCTGTCAACCTCAACAGTGTGGGCAGCGTGCACAGCTACACACCGGTAAGAACACCTGCAGCCCTGCTTTTTCACCCATTTATAATTCTTCAGGGGTAATTTTCTGTTTGTTAGCAACTCAAAATTAGGAGCGGATTTTTTCATTTTCTGAAAACTTGGGAATTGGGCAAGGAATAAATGATTTGATTTTGAGCTGATCCAGATTACTGTCCGGATCCAGGATTTTTTTAAGGTTTTCTCTCCACAGGTTCTTTTCTTGGTGTGTTTTTTCTCAATACGCTTGTCACCAATTGATTCCAACTTGTATCTTTTTACTTATAATTCATAAATTGAAATGGAAGGCCTTTTCAAGTTTCTATAGTGTTGAATTGTAATGATCAAGCTGTTTCTGCATTTATACTTGTACTGCTTGTTGGTTGTGCTCAAATATTTTGCTAATGACTACAACAAATGTATCTTTTGGGATTAGTTCATGAATATGTTTTTTGAAATCTAATCAAACAACGCTTTGTAGACTTTTAAATTAAGTGTGCTTCTCGTTCTACTTTTTCAGTACAAGGAAAAAGCAAAACACAAAAGCTTTTAGTCTAATACATTTTGTACAATATTATAAAATGGTACTTGGACTGGGACAATTTATGTAAGCTATTGCCTGAGATGAAGAAGCTGATTTTTTTTATTTTGGCCACATTATCTTTACCTTTCAAAAATTCCCGACATACTAACGACGCAATGTTTGAATGGGTACTTCTGGAGTCTACAGTCACCGCTGCAGTCCTTTCAGTTTAAAAACAACAGTGCAGACAGTGTGTTGAGTGTAATTATAAGACTTGAAGAATACTCTCTGATTAAAAAGACAGTGACACCTGCAAAATGAACAAGCACCAATTAAACGCTGTCCGCACATGTAATTTCCTCCGTGCCCTTTATCAAACACACGCTCCAGCAGCCTAACTGTTAAAGCTACAGGACACTTGTTCAACTGACGGCAGTGTCCAAACCACTCCAACTTCAAAGTCTACTTAGAAACATGGTAGGAAAATCCCTCAACTAGCCTTTTGAGAAAATCTATTTGATTCAATGCCTTTTTGTAAATCCCAAAATCACAACAACCGGCTCACAGACGTAGATTACACAAGAAATACAAAAACATAATTGCAGATGTATACATACAACTATATATCACTTGCACAAGAATGACCCCACTTTGCCCGAAGCCCCCGCTGAAAGATCAAGGCCATGGTCACACTTACAGAGCAGCCGTCCTCCTGTGGACTCACCAGGTATATAGAGGGATTTTCTCCTTCCTGGTGGATCCTCAAGACTACTGGTCCTTCTAATTGTCAATCATTCTGGTGATATGTGTCAAATGAGACCAGAGAGTTTTGTTCAAAAAGTGGAGAGGGCGGTTCTTTCCGAAATTTTTTGAAAGTCCTCCTATATATCTTTAAGTCTTGCTTCTTCATCATGCTAAAGTTGTCAATTATAAACTGGAGATTGATTTTATTCTATTGTATGCTAGTCCAATCCAATCCACTTTATTTATATAGCACATTTTTAGAGTCAGATTTTATTTTATTTTGGATTGTATTTTATTATAGTATAGAGACCATATAATTCTGCTGTGCTCCTCACGCCTACAACACTAAATGTCATTGGTCCAGAGGATAACAAGTTGACCAATGTGACTTAATCTCCGGGCTAATGCCCTGTCCTTGGACCCTCCTGAATCTGCAAAACTTAAAAAAAATCCTGTGGGAGAAAACAAGGCTGCAACAAGTGATTCATTGTAACTGCTGGGAGAAGATATTTCATTGTCAGGACAAAGCTGTAATCATAAGTAAATGACAGTATTTGCTGGATTCTGAAAATGTAGTTCATTTGTGTAACCTCAAGCTTGCATGCTCATGGTCACAAAATAAATTGTCATAATATTCCCAACCCGGATACCTAACCACAAACCAAACCACAGAAAATGGAACTATGTAATAAACTAGTTCCTCGCTCTCTATACAGCTCATCTGTTTATTTTGTCTGTTGCATCTTTAGATCAGCTTTTTCAGACATAAAAGTGAAAGAGGACCGCCCCCGGGCCAATCAGCTCAAAGTGTCTGACGGCTCTCATACAGTACGAGAATCCAAAAGATTAACCGTTTTATGAGACTTTCTGTTGAGACAAAAAATATTAGGTACCCCAGCTTTAAGATGATCAAACTTGAAAATACATTAGTTAAGGCAAGTTTATTTTTATAGCACAGCTCATACAGAAGGCAACTCAATTGTCAGAGAAGAAGCTTGTCTGACATTTTCAGCAAGACTGTTCCAGATTTTAGCTGCATAAGTCTGAAATGCTATACCTTCCCGTGTTTAGTTCTGACTCTGGGCACCAGTTTGAGGCCAGTCCCTGTAAATTAGATATTTTTTGCTCCTTGGTGGTGATAAATTAACCTAATTGAATTCACTTTTTTGAACTCAAATCATGCTCTTTTATCACAAAAATCAGATAATATCGATGGAATCTCTGTGTATAGACCCTCGCTGAAACCACTAGAACATCCCATATCTCGCCGCATCTCCAATCCCCCGGTGGATTTTGAAGCAAGCCAGGCGCAGACAGCAGCAGACAGCAGTAGACAGCCACGGATAGACTCGCGGTGAGGTTGAGGGCGGACCAACATCACGGGACGGGGTTAAGGGCTACAGAGAGAGATGTGCGCACTTCTGGAAGCTAGACAAAGGGAAACGCAGCCTCTGATGTCCTCCCACCAGAGCTGCCCCCACGTTTGGTGTGGTCCTCTCTGCTTCAGGCACTGGCATCGATCGGCTGGATTCCCTTCTCTGCTCTCCACACACATACACACACACTCACTCAGCTAGAGCAGTCTGGGAGCTGAGCACTTCTCGCCCGGCATCATTGAAAAAGGAAGATGTTACGAGCAGAAAGAAAGAGTAGGAAAAATTGGACGTGACCAAAGTTGTAATGCCGGGTCAAGTTTGTCTTTGTGAATGGTTTCGCTGGAGGGGACAGTAGTAGCTGCTCATGACACAGCCGGCCCGAGTTTGTAGCTTGGCCGCCCACACACACACAAAGATAAAACGGCTGCTGATTTGTACAAAGCACTCTGTATTGATTTTTGTTTTAAATACATTTTGCCCGGTCACTGGGGTATTGGCGTATTGTCCATTTGAGTTGCTCTCTTACAAGTGCACTGCGTAAAGTGCCATGTTCTTTGCTCAGTGTTTGGATGTTATTTTATGGCAGTCAAATGATAAATCTCCAAGTCATTGAGATAAGTTTGTAGCGCTGCTCGTGCAGGTGAAATCATCAGAGAGAACCACCCATTAATACATGCTTTCTGGATATTTCTTTGGTAACTACAATATGAATAGTTTATATGCAAAAACAGATAAGTCCCATGGAAACATATCGTAAAAGCTTACAATTTTCGCTTTACCAAGTAGTTTTGTGAAAAGCCAGTTCTATTTTAGTGCCATGCTAATAAAGTTTCACCCCTTTTTGCGCAACTTCCTTCAACTGTATGTGTCAATATTTGGACAAAATTTAAAAACGATGTCTGTTTTTGCATATGAACTCCTGATATATTTAAGGCCAAACTTCATTTCAGACAAAAGGACCGTCGTGATACTACGGATATTTTCATGTGCGATGATGTTAAATTTGAGCTTGTTGTTAATAGCCCTCCTAAGTCAGTACTTTTCCACTTGTTGTTTTGGTTGTATGAAGGTCAAAGCAAAGTTATTTACTGGCGATGTGGCAGATGCTGAGCAGAGCTATTGTATTTTTGCCTAGGTGTTTTTAAACCCAGAAAAAATACAATGAACACTGTGAAACTTGAGTCATTTATGCAGTGTACCAACAAGAAAACATGTTTTGTGCTGTCGCAAAATGCCAAACCTCTGCATCTTTTGTCATTTTCTTCAATACTTTTAACAGCGTAAATAGGGAGTTGTAGCCTTAACTTTCTGCTTAACTGTGCTTCCAGAGCTGTAAAAGCTGTCGTTGTTGGTTAATGTGTTGTGTTCTAAAGACATGATGTATTTACAGCTCAAAGTGAGATGAAAAATGCTGTAATTGATCTTTTTGTAATGATTAACATCTGCTCTGTGCCAATAAAACAAAGAGGAATGATTACATGGCCAATTTATTTTGTTTAGCTCCATAAAAAACACTTTTCAGCTTTTTCAATCAATGTTTAATTTTTACATGTTAACAAAGGTGCACAATAACACACACACTAGCACATCTAAGACTTTTTTTAAGTGTCCTTTGCAATACCTAACCCAAATTATAAAAAGGAGTTAGAGCTGTTCCAATAATCAAAAGATTGTGAATGAAACACCTGAATTAAAATGGAAAGACCGTAATAATGTGGAAGAAACAGTGTCATGAGTCTGGAGGACAGGCAGCAGGGATTTTACTTCATAAGATTGGTCATTAAAAAATATTGCATTTGTCATACTTTTGTTATTAAGAGACACAATTGAATCAAGATCGAAAGCGGTCAAATAATGATGGCTGTTTTTCAAGATTGACCAGCTCTAAAAGATGACCTATGCTAAATTTGATTCAATTCATTCTTGTATATCCCTAAATCACAGCAGTAGTTATCTTGGAGGACTTTACACAACCGTTGAATTTGGCAACACAAATCAGACAATCAAACAGTTCAAATGATAGAACAGAAAACACATTGGTCTTGGTTCATAAGGGGAGATGACCAATGTTCTTAAATGTTGATAAATGTTCATAAATATTATTGAATGTTTAGTGTCTTGGATTATCACCTCTGTCCTTTTAGTTTGCATATATTTGTATTAGTATGTCTATTTTGTTTGTGCTTTAACACTAACCCTCTACACTTGTCCACAGGTGAGCAGTCACCCGGAGCCCGTGTCGCAGCCCCTGAGTCTGCAGCAGCCGCCTCAGTCCCAGTACAACATGCCCGAGCGCGACAAGCAGCTCCTCTTCTCCGACTTCGAAGATCTCAGTGCCTCCTTCCGCAGCCTTTACAAGTCTGTCTTTGAGCAGTCCTTCAGCCAACAAGGTGAGAGGACTGAGGACCGATTGCTGAGGTGTCTATGTGATATTATGTCTACATGCATGGCGCCGTAAAGATTGAGCCGTGGCAAGATGCACACTGGGGTAGTCTTGCACAGTTTTTCCAATGTGGTTTTACTGATAATAATAATAATAATAATAATAATAATACATCAGTTTTATATAGCGCTTTTCAAAAACTCAAAGACGCTTCACAATTCAGGGCACACACACAATTAGACAAATACACAAAACTAAAAATCTAAAAGCAGGAAAGAGGAGTACAAAGCTGAAACTGCTTGCTGCAAAGCTGCTTGGAAGAAGAGGTGAGTTTTTTGCTGTTTTTTGAAGGAGTTTAGTGAGTCAGAGTTTCTGAGATGAGGGGGTAGAGAATTCCCCCTTCCAAATTTTGTATCTTCTTGTACCTTGTATCTTGTAGAAGAGCAATGAGTAGTAGTATTTTATTCAAAAGAGTGTTTTTCTTCAGGGCTAAAGCCGGGCTACCTAACGTTTAAACCAGAATTCAACTATGTAATACAATCTATTTGTTAACTTGCTCTCAATATAGTTTGGTTCTATCACTATTTTTTCCATGCATGTACTGTTTTTTGGCCTCTGTCACAACTTTGGATCAACTTTTCAGATAGAAAAGAGAAAAAACAGAAGCCAATTGACAGTTCCCAGCCCAAAGCATCAAATAGTGACAAATTTTCATTTAAGGTGCAGACAGCGGCCCACTTTGAATTAATGCCTTTTTTAGTCCCACGGTGGGGAATTACAGAAAAGTATGTTGTTCCAAGAATTTTTGTTGGGAAAAACAAAATGTATTATTTATGAAGGCCGAACAGTTGGGTATCCCAGCTTTAAGCGTACTAAGTGTTGATCATAACGGGGAAAGTGATTCAAAACTAAAACATCTCATGAAGTATAATCGAAAGGAATTTATAGCATTCAGACTACTTTGATTGGATAAAGACACAAACAATAAGACTGTGAGCTGATCACAAATACCACGAATATTTTAAAGCCAGAGCCTGTTTTTAAACTTTTCTCATATTTACTTTCACATCAGCCACTTTTATAATAACAATACATCACACAGATTTCAAATTAATTCCAACCTTTTGCCTAAACCACGCAAAAAGCTGTGTTTTTTTTAAGATATTGCGAAGCTGCCTGAAAGTTCACATCTTGAATATTTTATGAAGACATCACTGAATTAATGCCCTCTATCCTCCCTTCTTGATGGTTGAACATGAAAGCTATCTACATCTTGTCATGTTCCAAATGTCTCCTGCTATGGTGTGAGGGGAAATCTCTGCTTCCGTCTGCTCCAATCAGGTTATCCGCAAATGTACTTGATATAAAAATATGCAGCCGTGGTATGCGCTTGCCTCACTCCCTGCTGAACCCAGCGCATTTTTACTTGTAATGTGATTGACTTCCAAAGAAAGAACGTTTGACAAGTCCGCTAACTATTTCTCTGCTCCTAACCTACTTTTCACCAAACGGATTCTTTCATATCTCACCTTTTCTCTATTTTCAAAGTCTTCCCCGCCGCTTTAATCTTGCATCTATTATTACCTTTTCCCCTTTGCACATAAAAGCAAAAATCTCTTAGTCAGACAAGCACAAGCAATTAAAAGCGTAAATAATCAAGCCACATTTTGCCACTGCAGACGCTAAGCTAATTCTCTCGCCTTTGATAATAGGTAATGAGCTAGCATTATTTTTCCTATGCCACGTTAATTGCTTTTCTGCATTTCCCTGGTTGGACAATAGGCTTTTGGTGCTAGATAAGAGATTTACCCCTGTCACCCCGGCAATGAGTGCTCTAGGCAGATTGCGAGGGCTAAAAGCACTCCAGTACAAAATGGCTTTAGCCAACGTGATGAAGGACAGTCTCTCTCTCTCTCGTCACTCCACTCCTGGCCTGTTCACATCATTTTAGCCTGAGCATCTAGGCTGGAGTTGAGGGTTGGAGAGGCGCAAAAGTGAAAAGAGACAATAAAGGAAAGCAGGAGATGCGACGGTGAGAATAAAGATGCTGCTGAGTCATTCCCTGTAGCAGCAAAATGGCAGCTGGTCCGTCTCAAGCTGTGGACCAAAGAAAAATATGCCAACAGTGACAAATGTGATGATAATTAATTTAGCCTTCACGTTGGCATCAATCACTTTTCTGTTTCGTTCGGCTGACGAGGTGTAGCGGTAAAAGTTTTGTGTTCAATGATTTATGCTGTGGAACTGTCAGATGACTTATGTACGCACACAGGTTACAGGTTCACGCAATTCTATGTTAGAATGAAATACTCTATTGGTCAGTGATGAGGGGGGGGTGCTGCTGGTGCTGCTGTATCAATTTAACAACTAATATTTCAACATATCTTTTGAAAATGCTTTATTGTCTTAATGTTCTTATCAAGACAAAGTTTAACCAAAGCACCATTTTCAGATTGGGAAAGTGTTATAGTCTTATTGTAGCAGTAAAGATCTCATTGATATCTGCGCAGCATTCACTCGTCACTTAGTCAACTTCGCTAAGGCCTTATCATCTAAAGTTGGTTGTATTTATCATGATTGGACTGCATTATGTTTTAATATAATTGTATTGTAGCTTTAAATGGGTCTCAGCAGAGGACACATTTCCCTGCAACACAGTACACCTTAACATTAGAGCTTTAGTATCTAACTGTTGTAGAAATACAACAGAATAACAACATAAATCAATAAATGTTGTTTGACCAAACAAAAAGACTCTTGTTTGAGTCACATTTTGAGAACAAATCTTACATTTGTGTTTTGCTATTGTTATTTTTACATACTGAGAGCTAATGCGTGAGGGCTGGTACTCTTAATCTGTCTGGAAAAAACTGATCTTAAGTACATAAATGTGAATTCAAGTTACCTGGATTGCACTACATAGTATTTTTTTCTCAAAGTTGGGTACACAGGCTTTTAATTTCCCACAAAATGAAAAAATACATGCAAATGAGAAGACTGAACCAATTGGTCCATTTGTAAATCTTGTTTTATGATACTCAAACTGTTCCAAAATCAAGATAATACATTATATTCTTTGCTGTTAAAGTGTTGTAGTGTGACCTTTTGGCAGTAAGTGTTTGTGCCTTGAGGACCCCGTATATAATTGGTCTGTTGTCCCTTCCTCAGGTCTCATGGGTCTCCCGTCTGACTCGTCCCAGCAGACGCACACGTCCTGCTCCTATCAGCACTCCCCCAGCGGCAACATCAGCTCCCAGAACAGCCTGTCCAACAACCAGCCCAACAACCACCAGCACCCCAGCAGCGTGCCCCTCTCCCACCCCTCGCAGGCCCACCCGGGACACGTCTCGCCCCACACACAACACCTCACTCAGCACAGCGGCCCGCACAACCAACACAACCACCACAACCAGCACAACCACCAACACAACCAGCACGGCCACCCAGCGCACCCCGCCCACTCTCAGCACACGGGGCACCCCTCGCAGCACCCGTCCCACACGCAGCACCCCTCGCAGCACCCCTCACAGCACCCCTCGCAACACCCCTCGCAGCACCCCTCGCAGCACCCACAGGCCCACGGAGCGCCGCACCAGAGCCTCTCCCATCAGCAGCAAATGGCCTGCAACCCCGGTGAGCCCCTTCATCATTAACTCGCTTTTTATACAAATATCAACACAACTTATTTGTTTAGAGATTTTAACACACAAACGGAGGAGTAATTGGTAATAAAAAACCCACTACGGGACATTCTAAAAGTAAGTAATGCAAGTAATCTTTATTTATATAGCGCCTTTTACAGACCAGATTCAAACAGCGCTTTACATTTGTGGGCATTTGTCTCTCACTCCACACAAAGAGTGGGGTTTCCAGTACAGGAGGCCCATGCCAGACCTTTTGCACATGTTTTTAGTGTTAGGGGAAACTGTAGCACCCGGAGGAAACCTACGCCGGTCACCCAAAGCGCTTTACATTTGTTGAGAGTTAAGATATTTTTCCATCGTCTTCACACGGTAATGACGGAAGTGAGACGCCGAAACTCACTGACGCAACAAAGCCTCCAACCAAGACCATCCTTTCACTCATTCACTACATTCATACCTATTGTGCATGTTTTTAGTGGTAGGGGAAACCAAAGCACCCGGAGAAAACCTACGCAGACACAGGGAGAACATGCAAACTCCAAAAAGTGCATTAGAATGTCCTGTGGTGGCTTTACTTTAGCTTTCTTATCTGCATTGTAAACAACTGATTCTAATTGACTAATCTATTATCTCAATAATTGTTAGTTACAATATATTTTCAACATTACCAGATTGTACTGTTCGCTGTATTATCTAATAAGAAATGTAGCATTTTAATGTATGACTTCTCTCTCAGCACATTTGTTTCGTTGCTAAAAGAACCATATTCTTTTTCCTTATTTTTCTTGTATCTTTAAATGGTACCCAGCCGCAGTCCTTGGGCAAGACATGTCATGCGTCCATCAGCTGCGTTATCCTGGGAATAATGGACACAGCAGAGGTGTCTTTAAAGGCAGTCAGTCCTTGCGGCTAGGAACCTTAACTTTTGTTAGATTAAAGTACTTAGGCCTTTCCCAATAATTACCCTATTAACTTAATGGTTTATATCTGATGGATTAAACTGTACTAGGAACCTCAACATTTATCATGTATTCTTTTCCTTCCTATTTTCTTTATACATTTATCTCCTAGCTAGCGATGATTCAACATGTCTAAATATTCCTGGTATTTCTTTTGTTAGCTCATGAGATTAATAGTTAAGATATACCCTATTGATCTCACACAGGAGAAATTTACATGTCACATCTGGCATGGATAGAAACACAAAAGATCATGCAAAAAAGAAAGAAATGTGCAAACAGGTTAAATGCAGGATATATTATGTAAAATAAAGTGGCAAATTAAAAAGTGGCAATCAAAAAACCGTGTCAATAGTAGTGCAGGTTTTTTCAATCTTAATGCAGTGACTTAAATGACTTATTGTACAGTCTGACAGCAGTGGGGTTATATTATATGCTGCTTTATTGTACTGGCATAAAGTGGTTTCAATATCATAAATATTATCATTAATCACAATCACTTTCTGAAGCTATAAATCCTCCATCCAAATTGGCCGTAGTGACCAGTACTTGTCTGTCAGGCCTGCCCCTATACCAGATCTTTGTTATGCCAAATGTAGTCATGTAATGTCCATCATGTCTGTTAAACATGATTTCTCATTTTTGAGCGCTCTCACAGCACAATAGCACCATGTCTCTTTTCCTGTTTCTACTGGAGCCTTTGAATGATACCCAGCCCTAGTCCTTGGGCAAGACATGTCACGCTTCCATCAGCTGTATTTTCTTGGGAAATTAAAATTGTTGTTTGCAGCCGTACTGTACATCAGATGCTAGAGGGCCATAGTTAACCACTAGGCATTCTATCGGTCAGCTCTTCATATGGAGACGGCTAGTTTTAACATTTCTTCCTCATTGTGTGGTGGTATGTGCATTGTACCTTCCCCATTCATTATTCTGAAAACCAACATTGCATTTATTAACCTAGTCCATGTTACGTTATGTGTACGTGAAGCTGTATTTAGCAAATATAACATACATCTGTCAGTTATGTTTTATCCAGCATTACTATTTACATAATTATCTCTGTGCCAAATCATATCCCGATTTATTATCTTCTCTGAGAACAAAGCACTGCTCCTGCACACCACGGTAACAGTCCCGTGGCTCCTCCTAGTGGCCACAGATGGGTACTGAAGCGTTTAAGCACCTGATAAAGTGTTTTATTGGGTGCTGTAGTGCCATTTATTTATGTCATAAATAGTAAAGGCTTCACAGTTATGAATATGTTTATACAACACAACTGCTGTATCCAGCCTGGGGTCAGACTTTACAGCTGCAGATGGTTGTGAAACAGTCACAGCACCAGTGTCAAGTGTGCGTTATGGGACATTTAATGGGCGGTGGACAAGTGATCAATGGGGAAATGAATGTTAGTGTGGATTTATTTACTTATAAGAGCATAACAGGCCAGTAGCCACTGTGCAAATCAGTTTTTATACATTGAAATTGAGTTGGGAAACAAAATCATATTTTAGCATTTTTATGTGTACTATAAATATTTTTTAAAACCTATGCATGTTAAAAGGGCTGTCAACAAAGACAATTTCAATACATGTTGACCATGTTTCAAGATATATTATTAGACTGAGATTTAATCTGGAAATCCTTGAGTTTATAGAAACTTTCAGTTAAAAAACACTGTTATTAGTAAACTTGTCAAAACATTGTAAAAAAGCAGAATTTGAGGCTCAGTCACAGGCGCCATTTTGCTTGAGCAATAATAATTTCTGATACTAATAATAATGCGTCTGTTTTATATTGCGCTTTTCTTGAATCCATAACGCTTCACATGGCATAATTCATTCACTCCATACTACTACAGCCACAGCTGCCCTGCGACAGAAACTTACATGTGTAATTGTTCCATACTTTTGTGGTTAATTTAAAATGGGGTTTTATTCAGAAATGGGATGTGAAATGGGATGTGAAACAGGCCAAAGTTGGAGCCCTGAAACTTTGAGAGATAGAGGACAGCTAAAAATCAATCAATGGTACTACAATCAACAGGGAAATGTCTGTGTCTCTGGATAACTAGTTCTGTGGATTCAGTTCTGTTACTTTAGCATCTTAAGAGCTGTGATAGGGCTCATGCGTATTTGATCTGGCACCTTTCTAAAAACTAAATAAAGGCTGTCTTCTGATTGCACTCACATATAGAGACATATTGTTTAAAGCGCCTTTGTTTGCTTTCTCAGGTATTTTATCGGACTGGTACCCAAATCTGGACGCACTGAAAGAGAGCTGTCGCATCGCCAGCAGCTACAACTGGGCCGACGTGGACCTGTCCCCCTTCCAAGGTGCTGCTCCAGCCCACACCAGTATCAGAAACTTTACTATAAACTGACCATAAAAAGTTTTCCCAATCAGGTCCCGCCTACAGATGTTGTAGAAGAGCATAATAATAGTGGAGCGGCCTTGCTTTTGATTAATGTTGAAGTGTTGACACCAGACGTTATTATGAGAATAATTAATGTGAGGTCTTCTATTTAAAACGCTTGGCTCGTGTTTTAATCACCAAAAGCCTCAGCTCAGCAGGTCATTCTATCAGATTATTACTATGTAGGACTGCACTGTATGGAGTTTTTCAATATTATGCTAAAGGTTAGGGCGTAATGGGAAGATAATGCAAAGGATATTTCACTTGGTTTATGAAATTAAATCATTTATTAGATTTAGCCTTGAAAACTGGGTCAGGCAACGGCAACAAAAGCGCAGAAATGTCCTGAAAGGTAATCTGACCCGGTGTATTTGTGTGTGTTCCACAGGTCTGCGGGAGAGTATGAGACAAGCGGAGTTGAATAACTGGTCCCTGGAGCCTACACAAATTGCTGATCTCTGCTCGTCTATCAACCAGTTCTTCACCCGCACCGGCGTCATTCAGCCACAGGCGGCAGTACAGTCCCCTTCGTGCCACAGCGCCATGCACCCAAGCAAGCCCAGCCAACACCTCAACACAGGTTTGTCTTCTCTCATTCTATTCACCAGGAATCAGGATTCTTTTAGGTTTTTTGCTATATGCATCTAGTTAGATCCTGCTGCTGCAAATAAAAACATTCTTCTGTGGTTGAGATGTATGCTCGCTCCAAAGTCGGACCTCATTGAAGAATGGACCCCATTAAAAACAATTTTTTTTAGAAATGAATGGCAGACGACATGAACTGAAACCTTATTTTTATTTTTTATATAATTCCATAGTGCCTGAGTGCATGCCTGGTGCATGCACACTTCAGTTACAAATTTGTTACTGAAGTGTGCATGCATCTGTGCATTTGTATATGGGTGTATATGGATGTGTGTAACAGGACCCCCGCTGTCCGCCTCTGGATATGTTTATGTCTATGTCCGTGTATGTGAACTTGTATGTAAAGTCCCCAAGTTTATCTTATTTTGTCATAATTGTATTGTTATTATTTTTTCATTATTTTTATTTATGTTGTTATTTTCTTGTCTTGCTAGATTTTCTTGATTTTTTTTTCTCCCTTTAAGTGAATTATCCATGAGTCTTACCAAGCTGCTTATAGTTTATTTTTCTCTCAATAATATCCAGACCAGGGTCACATAACAAAACTATTTGGTGTTTTTTACCATTAATTCCACCCAAGTGTCTTAAAGCTGGCTAACTTTTTTCATGCATTAAATACATAATACGTTTTGTTTGCCAGAAAAAGGGTCTTGTTTAAGTAAGTTAGTAAGTAAGTAAGTTTTTATTTATATACCGCCTTTTCACTGCAGATCTGAGTCTCAAAGCGGTTTACAATTGTTAATTTTTGGGCATTTGTCTCTCACTCCACACAGAGATGGGAGCCGGGTCGCCAGTACAGGAGGCGCATGCCAGAACTATTGGACATGTTTTTAGTGGTAGGGGAAACCAGAGTACCCGGAGGAAACCTACGCAGACACGGGGAGAACATGCAAACTCCACTCAGAAAGGCCCTGGTCCGACCGGGATTCGAACCCAGGACCTTCTTGCTGAGAGGCGAGAGTGCTATCCACTCAGCCACCGTGCCGCCCAAGTAACATACTGAGCACTGATTGGCTGAGGGCTGGTTCTCACTTTTTCACTGAAAAGCTGATCTAAAGATATGTGAAAACTAGTGATAGAACCAAACTGATTTGGTTCTTATAGGTTTTTTGTGGTTTCAAAGATTGTGAAAGGTAGGCATTACAGCTTTAAGCACTTTTTTTTTCAAGACATTGACACTATGTTGTGTGTTTAAGGTAATCTTTACATGGACTCGAGACAGGGTATGACCATGATGGGACCGCCCGGCTACCCTCACATGCCCCCGATGAGCAGCGCAGGACCCACGATGACAGGTAATCTACTATGTACTTTAGACCACATGTTTATGGTACATTTCAAGCAGAGATAAGAGAACCTAAGTGGGGAAATGTCAATGCACATTACAAGACAGAGGATATAAAAATAGATCAGAATAAACAAACATAATCCCTGTGCTTAAAAATCTTAGTTAAGGCTATAGAAAAAAATACACGTGAAGAATTAGTACAGTGAGCTGTCAGGGCTCCGTAATAATGCATACAGTTGTTGTACAGCTGTGCATGTGTTGGCAGGATGAGGGCATGAACCGGATATCTGCAGGTAAAGGGCTTTGTCAATTGCCAGTGAACAGATGAATGAGTTGGTATTGTTCTCAGATGTGACCTTGTGATACACCCACTTTGGAATCAATGAAGTCTTTAGTAAACTATGTTTATGGGTGTGTTATGGAAGTGCTTATGAGGTGCTACCTGTGCCCTAATAGTAGATTGAAGAGTTTTACAGGTGTATTTTAGCCGATTGTACTGCACATGGCTTGTTATATTATTTATTTAATCTAGAAAGACTCTTGTGACCATGAATTTACATACCCTGGCAGATTGTGTCATGTAAACAAATTATTCTCATTATTATTATCTTCTTCTGTAATTTTATGGCGGGCTACGAATCAGCATTGACGTATGCCGCCACATACTGTATCAGAGCGTAATACTCCATGCCTTTGGTACAATGTTACAGTCTATTTATCATTTTATTATTATCTTCCTTTTGTTTCCTAAACAAATGTATTACTCCACTCTCCAGTACTAGTGTTGCAACACTGTTCTATTGAATGTATCTGTGCTTAAACAAAGCATTGTCGGATTAGTTTGCTTTATATTGGTCAAAAAGAACTTCAATATTAATTTGGATAAATTCAAATAAAAGTCAGCGTCTGTTTCCTGGCAGAGCTATCCACCCCATAAAGTCTCCAACGCTTTCTCTCTCCAGCTCTGCAGTTACATAATGCCCAGTCTATACAGTTGGAGCTATTTGTAAAATAAACATATGGTCTATCAGGTATTCAAACAAAGTATATAGTTATTCTAATATTTTCTATTGTACGGTAAATTAATATCAGCTTCATGTGTCTGTTTTCTATAACTAATTATTTGTGTCAGCCCTGAAAGAAAAACATCGCTCGATCTCTAGTTTACTTTTTTCACAGTGGGGGAGCAGGAAACATCTCTTGTCATTCAATCTCATCTTAAATATCACCATAAAATCATCAATTGTTCCACCCTTCACCTCAGATTTCATCTTAGTCTCTTGTGTTTCCCAGGACACCACGCACAGATGAACCAGCAGCACATGATCCAGAGCAGAAACTTCCAGATCCACCGCATGCCTGCCGACGACATCCAGGACGACTTCGACTGGGACTCCATCGTCTAACACAGGCCCGACTGCCGCGCCACCATCGATGTGCGAGCGACGCTACGGGAGGGTCCTGAAGCTGCGCGCGACTCTGAAGAAGACTATGTGACGCGGGACAGTGATTGGACGAAGCTTTGGCGAAACTCAAAACTGTGACTTTTTTTTCAAAACGCATACCTTTTGAGATGTTCCTTTTGGAAGACAATCATTCTAGTCGGACATTTATCGATTGCATCTGCTTGTCCCGGGGCAAGTAGAGACCACATTGAACCACGCGCCCCTCTGCCCCGCCCGTCCCGTCACTAGCCAGCAGACTTCCAGCGTCCATCACCGCTCCGTAACTGTCCTGTGATTTGAGCGAAAAACGTGTTCCGCTTGTAACTTCTCGTGTTGACATTGGCCTACGCTGCCTCTGTTTTTAAAAAAAATATGTTTTATTTTATTATTTTTATTTTAGGAAAACACAGGCCATCTCTGTGAGTAACGTGATGGTGCTTGTTGGTCACTTTTTGGAGGGGGAATGTGGAGAAAGACGTAGAATTTGGCGCATTTTAAAAAAGTTTACAGTTTAGTCTCGATGTTTAAAAAAACAAATTGGAACAGCACAATTAGCTTTGGCACGATTTACGGCGTGTGGAGTATGAGTGTGTGTGTGTGAAGATTATTCTGTCTTTTTAATGTTTTTTCTGTCTCCAAACAGTCACTTCATTTTACTTTCTAGTCCTGTCCTTCTATCTCTTTCATACCCGTGTAAATGTGCCTGTAATGCTTTCAACAGCATTTCCTGACAACCATATTAAGTAGTGGGAGCTTCTATAAACCTGCGGATCACTATTTGGTGAATGTAATGGCTCGTCTCCTTTTTGGCTCTTGGACCTGCCTCACTGTTGATGAATGCTAACTTTGAGTTGTACCATGTGACTGTGCTGGTGCAGTGCCTGGGCCCTACTACAGTTTGATATGCAAGCTACAGTATGTATCTTGAATTTGTTGAGGAACATTTATTGTAGGATTGTAAACCTTGATTTAATGTTTCATGCCATACGGTGATGACCATATGTTGCATAGTTCTTCAGCTCCAGTTTAAGGTAAAGGAATACTTTAACGCCTTATAGGGAAGAATAATGTATAAAATAGTTTAGACAAAAACAGGATGCTTAATTTTCTGCATCTGTCTTTGATCCACTCTGATCACTGCATCACTGCATTCGCTCTGAAAATTCAGAGATTTTACAAATGTTTCACCACTCAAGGCTCAACCAAGATGCTAAACTGATGCAAAGTTTGTACTCAAATTACAGTTCTACAAAAATAATAAACTTCATTGTCGCCTGTGGGAAAAAATGACTCATTGAATCGCCACAATATATATTCCTTTTTAGCAAGAAATTGGAAAACTACAACAAGTTACAACACCAAAGGTACCGGTGTTGATGCGGTACAAGCATTCAGCACCATCAGAAGCATTTGGGGACACTACAATTCAAGTTGCAAGAATAGCAATCTGGCAAAAAAAACTATGGTTTCTAATTGAATGTCTATTTTCTGGCATTTTAAAGGAGAACCCACATGTTTACTCAAGAAGTAGGTGTGACAAAAAAATGATAGTAAAATGTACGGCAGAAGGAAAGAACCCGAAGACTGTAAATGTGATTTATTCACAGCATCAGCTTTTATTGAAGTGGGTCACATGTGTTATGTATAATCAGTCATGTTTGGAGCACACGGATCTGTTTTGATATTGTGTGTTCTTAAACTGATTTTGTCACCTCTCCGCTCTGTACATGAGCCGTTATCACACGTTCTACAGACGTGTGTGTTGGGTGAACATACAGTGTGTTGTTTTCTAATCTTAGAGCTATGATTGATTGCTGCAATCATCTCTTTGCTATCGACGAGCACAAAAGCACACTGATTAAATGGAGATTTGAGTGGTGCGTTTGTGAGAGGACAGAACTCTGGCTTCTGACATTATGAGACGCTATGTTTTAAAAATCCTTTGCACATTTAACCTTTTGTTTTTGGTTTGAGCAGTTTGGTCCTCCAACATCTCATCTTTATGCATATGCAGTAGTCATTCACAGCTACAGTGGCTCCCTCTAGTGGTAAATGAGGCATTGTCTGTTGCTCAATACGTCCCACCATTCATATAATTCAAATGACAATCATACCATTTTAATATTTTATGTGTTTGTATGTTGTTTTTGATAAGGCACTTTTACTCTTCATTTTTTTCATATCATTTAATATTGCCTTAATTTAACATTTAATGTCATTATTTTCTATACTGCCACCTGTAACCAAAAATATTGTTTTTATAATCTCTTATTTAATTTGTGTCAAAGTTTCATTGAACAAAGATCACAGCGCCTGGGGTTCTGTGGTGCTTTATGTGGAACAAGAACTCTAATAAGCTAATCAAATGAAACATGTATGCAGTGTGTACAAATGTAATTCAACAAATATTCGCTGCGTTTTCTTAGTTGACTTGCAAAATCATCAATCCGTTAAATCTTTCAGTTCAATAATGTGCACTGCTCACTGTGTGTCTTAAGGAGAACAATGTTTGTGAGGCTTTGCTTACTTTCTTTCTGAGTTTAAAAACCTTGTAACTGAGATGAATTTGGACATAACTAATACACAAGAGCAAACCCACAAGTTAAAAGGGAAAACTGTTTTGCCAATGACTGGATCAGCATGTCTCTGTATGTGTGTATGCCTGCTTGTGTGACTTCCTGTTTCTATAAACACGAACCTGCCAGAGAGATTACCAATATTGTAGTATAGAAAACAATTTTTAAAAAGCTTTGTTACAAAATGGGAGAAAACTGCCAACAAGTACTGCTGATGGAGGCCTGTGTGTTCAGTGCTGGTGTGTCGTTGTGCTTGTACATAAATGTCTTTTCAATCATCCATTTTCTCCTCTTGGGGGTGGGGTCTATGGCCTGAAGAGGTGTGGCCTCTTCACCACAGAAGAGGGGAAAAGAATAGAGTATTTTGTTATCAGAGGGTGACAGTTTGTATATATCTATATTGTATATATGTGATGAAAATGCTTTTTTGTCTGACACTACCTTTTACCTGTACTATGGTTCAACATTCAGTGTTTCAGTGTTGCTAATATATATTTGGTTTGTGTTTTTATTTTTTGATTTTGTCTCTTGTCATTGTATTTTTTTCTCTTATCTTTGTCCCCTTTTTTGTTCATTGCACGGTTTATTACTTTGGTCGTCCAATGAGATGACACCGCTAACTACTCTTTGTATTTGTTTAGTGCTGTAAAATAACTCAAGTGTTATTAGACTTGTTGATACCACCGACCGCCCCACCCCTCCCCCAATATGCATGAATGGCACTTAAAGAAATAAAATATGGTAACTTCACTGTGGACAAATCTGATGTCTGACATTCATTTGAAAAGGACAGGGATTGTTTTTATTTAATGGCATAATTTACAGTTTTACAGTGTTTAGTCTGAGCATACCTTGACATCTTGAGTGCTTCTTTTAAGAATGTGCAGTGGTTGGTTACTGAATAATCTCAAACAGTGGCACATGAGTAATACACAATTCCTTAAAATGCATTCTGTTAATCTGACTTTTAATTTGCAAGTAAAATATTGGACATAACCTTCAGTAGACAGTATAAGGATTACATAAAGCTACACTAGTCACTCTAATCCTCTAATGGCCTCCGATAAACAAATGAGACATGAGTTGCTGAGCTGCTAAAATATGAGTAATGTCCTACCAGGCCTCCCCTTTTAAAAATAGATTGTCATTGGTTATACTATACAGTTCAACCAGTGCACCATTGGACAGCCCTAACAAGATCCTTATGTTGAGGTAAGACTGCAAATATATTCACTGTGCCAACTTCTATAATTATTAAACTACTAGGACTCCCACAGCCGTCATTTTGACTGCTTTTATTCAAACCGTTTGAATTCTGAGATATTCCCCCAAAGATATTGAGTTTCAGGAGGGAAAACTATCTCTATTCACTTATACTAATTGCAAAAGTGGTGAATATAACAGCAAAAGGTTTGTTGAAAGGCTACTGCTAAGGACCAAATGCTAACTGCTCCGAGTGTGTTGTTATGGTAACTAGTACTAGCCCCTCTTTGGTGGAAAACCAAACGGGACCAAAATGGCTGAATTTGAGAAAAAGGCAAGACTCTTCACATTTCAAATAAAAAAGATAATGTCATATAAATAATGACACAAATAAGCTACATATAGAAACAGAAAAAGTCACAAAATTATGAATACCAACAATGTACATGAGTACAGAGTAGAGAAGAATAATTACCATTCCAAAACTAAAAGCCGTCAAATTGACTGCTCTGGGAGTTCTAGTGTTAATACTGTGAACCATGGGAAACTTGAAGATTATTCTATTGGATCTATTTGAATAAAGACTAGTAAAGAAATGGGTGGCATACAGTATATGGGGTGTGGAGGTGGGCCGTGGGTTCATCTTGTGATGTATCTGCGGGAGGCCCCTTGCACATGCTGCCAGGACGTCCACAGGGCTGTACACTTAAATAGCATGTCGTTCCCGTCACATGGTCGACTAAAAGCACAGACAGAGGAGTGAGGTGAAGAAGTGACTTGCAGAATTTGCTGAGAGGGAGAAAGGACAACATCATGTTGCCTTTGCTGCTACTGACCATTCTCCTGAATGCCCAGCTATTCACAGCGGCACCAATTAGTAAGACACTTCTATCACTATTTAGTAGTAGTAATATTGTAGTAGCAGTGGATTCTTTTATTTATTCAACAAATATAGTGCTAAACTTTTTGTGAAGGATTTGCAATATGCTTGTTGCTTTAATTGTAACTTTTAGTATTACTTTCTTAGTATTATTTCTTAGTAAGCATAAAACTTGCATTAGTAGATTGATCACTTAAATGTCAAACTGTGGAAAATGTAAGTGTGGGAGGGGAAGACCCAAAAACTGCTATTTAAAAGCATCGGCATTCCATTAACAACATTGCATTTTGGGTAATTCAATCAAATAGGGGATCTCCAGCGTCTATTAACTCCAGAGATCCCATTATTTGTAATTCTAATAAATGTGTTTTGTGCAAGTATTTCTCTCACAATTCACTGTACTTGTACATTTTTATTGTATAGATTCGACTCCTGGACAAAATACTGCATCTGTCTATAAACTATAAGGAATCACATGTCTGATCCATGTGAGCTAATTCGCCCTCATACTACACGTTTTGTTCATGTTACACACTCAGTCATTTGAACAGCTACAGTTCACAGCTGTTATGTAATCTGTCGTCAGGAAATATATTGTAATTCTATCCCTGCACCCTTCGATCTTTTACCATAAATTTGCCTCATTTATTTATGAAGAATTATGTATTTATGTTATCATTTTTTTCTTTTGAGTAAATACAAACACATGTTTGTATCCACCCTACAGAATTGTTCCCAATATGTCAACACTGAAAACATTTTCAAATTATGTTTTTATCTTAATCTAAACTAGACCTTAAGTATTCAAAAAAATCTTAAGTATTATGTGAAAATCTGTTACAGATCAAGAACTAAGAATTGGTGCAGACATTTTCCGAGATGATGCCCCCAGCATGGATTCTGTGGCTTCAGTCAGTGAGGAGGTAGTAGAAGATGAAGAAGAAAATCATCTACAAACAGAAGACGATCCTGAAACCAAAGATCATATTGTTGTTGGCGATCAGACAATTGAAGAAGCCAAAGAAGAACCAAAACCTGTTGCAGTTGTTGAAGAACATACCAATGAAGAATCCACTTTAAAACAAGAACAAGTCGTTGTAATCGAACCGGTCGAAGAGCAAACATCTCCAGAGGATGCTACAACTGATAATGATGATGAAGCAGACGATGCGGTAGAAGATGCAGTTGATGTGTTTCCGGTCGAGGACAATGCACCAAAAGATTCAGCAGAACCAGAGGTGGTTGCTGTTGTGGAAGAAGCAAAAGCAGAACAAATCCAAGGAGATGCAATTACAGAGGTTGAAGAGGCTGGTCCTGAAGAGGCTGAGGAACCTGCAGTTGTTGAAGATGATAAAGAACAAACAATTGTTGTTGCTGTGATGAGAGAAGACCCAGAGGAAGCAACAACAGAAGATCAAGGTCCACCTTCAGAAGAATCGCCAGAAACACCAATCGTTGCTGTAGTTGAAGATCCAGAAGAAGAGTCTGTTGAGGAAGATCAGACTGCAACGTTGATAACTACAGCTGTAGATGAGACTGACGAGGAATATTCAGAAGAAACTTTTATAATTGTAGAAGATGGCCATGAAACTACCCCAGAAGAACAGGGAGCAGTGGTGGTTGCTTTTATAGAAGACAATGAACCTGAACCTGAACCAGAACCAGAACCAGAACCTGAAGAAGATATAGCTATTGTTGCAGATTCTAAAGAGGAAGACTCTGCAGTGGCCATTGTTGATGAATTGGAACAAACTCAAGAAGAATCAGATGAAACACCTATTGTAGCCATTTCTGAAGATTCTGAAGACAGTGATGATGAATCATTTTCAGTTGCAGAAAATACAGGTGAAGAAACATCCATTGGTGACCAAGTGACAGAACAAGTATCTGAAGATGAGATTGAACTAAGTGACATTGCTGCGGTTGACAGTAGTCAGGAGGAACTTACTTCTGAAGACACAAATGCAGCTGTTATTGCAACTGTAGAAGGTGAAGATGGAGACGCGACCACTGATGATGGAGAATCAGTGGAAGTTGCATCTGAAGATGAAGATGTTATAGAACCTATTGTAGCTGTTGATGGTACAGATGAAGAAGCAGCATCTGAAGATGAAGATATTATAGAGCCTATTGTAGCTGTTGATAGTGCAGACAAAGAGCCAACATCTGAAGATATTATAGAGCCTATTATAGCTGTTGACGGTGCAGACGAAGAACCAACGTCTGAAGATGGAATAGAGCCTATTATAGCTGTTGATGGTACAGATGAAGAACCAACATCTGAAGAGGAAGAAGTAATAGTGCCTATTATAGCTGTTGATGGTACAGATGAAGAACCAACGTCTGAAGAGGAAGAAGTAATAGAGCCTATTATAGCTGTTGATGGTACAGATGAAGAACCAGCATCTGAAGAGGAAGAAGTAATAGTGCCTATTATAGCTGTTGATGGTACAGATGAAGAACCAGCATCTGAAGAGGAAGAAGTAATAGTGCCTATTATAGCTGTTGATGGTACAGATGAAGAACCAACATCTGAAGAGGAAGAAGTAATACAGCCTATTATAGCTGTTGATGGTACAGATGAAGAACCAGCATCTGAAGAGGAAGAAGTAATAGTGCCTATAATAGCTGTTGATGGTACAGATGAAGAACCGACATCTGAAGAGGAAGAACTAATAGTGCCTATTATAGCTGTTGATGGTACAGATGAAGATCAGACATCTGAAGAGGAAGAAGTAATAGTGCCTATTATAGCTGTTGATGGTACAGATGAAGAACCAACATCTGAAGAGGAAGACGTAATAGAGCCTATTATAGCTGTTGATGGTACAGATGAAGAACCAGCATCTGAAGATGTTACTGTAATTGTACAAGGTGGAGATGAAGACACAACCATTGAGGAACAAACAGGACCAGGCGTAGTTAATATTGTCAAAGTCACAGATGACTCTGTAAAGAAAAATGATGCTGTTGCTACAGTGGATGAAGTTGTAGATGATTCAGAGGTACAAATAACGGAAGACCAAGACAAACTACAAACTGAATTTGAAAACGAAGTGACAATGAGTGAAAATCAAGACACTGGGATTGTTGTCGTGGATGAAGCCGAGGGAGAAGTCACTGTTGTTGAGGTTATTGAAGACAACACATCCAAAGAACCACAAGAACCTGAAGAACTGGGTGTTGTTGTGGTTGAAGACATAACTGAACCTTCTACAGCTGCAAGTGATCAAATAGTTTTTATTCACAAAGAAATAGCAGGTGATGGAAAAAGCCAAGACGTATCTGCTCCAGAAGAATCCAATCAAGCAAGTCTAAAAGAAGTCCTCCTCTTTGATGTGGTTAGAATTCAGCCACTAGCTCCAGTAGAGGCAATTGTTCAAGAGGAACCAATAGGTAAGAGGACAAATAAAAGTTGGACCCACCCTTATCATATACTGTACAGGTGAAACTCAGAAACTTTGAATATTGTTCAAAAGTTATTTTATTTCTGTATTCACTTGAAGAACCAACGTCTGAAGAGGAAGAAGTTTCAGCAAAAAAAAAATGAATATTGCATCAGCTACAATATTCAAAGCAAATATAATCATACTAAGATGTATTAATGTTGTGGTTTCTCTCACAGTTATGATCAACCGAGGGGCTGTGCTGGGAGCTGCATTCTTCACTTTGGTTTCTTTTATGACCGTTGGATTTATTGGAATAACTGTGTCCAAAAAACTGCGATAAAAAAAGTAAGTAATTCTTCATCATACGTTTACGTTTTACTCTTTTGATTAATGCATTCTGTTTTCTTTTAGACACAAAGAATTGTTCTGCTGTAAATAAGACAGGCTCTAAGAGTTTTTTGTAATTCATTATGCCAATATATGATGCTTTTGGGGACCTAAAAGAAGTCAGTTTCACAACCTTGTAGATATAAATGAGTTTGGCTTGAAAAGCATTGTTAAAAGGATTATTATAGCTTTGTTGAATGGTTGTAAGTTAATATGTGTAAATAGGGAACATTTTGTTTACAAGTTACCACAATGGGCATCCTGTTCACAGAAGGATTTCATTAAAGTTAAAACTGCCAACAGTCTATTTCAGTGATTCTATGTGGATTTAGATGTGTGATTAGTGCTATTAATGTATATTTAATGTCTGTCCTTTAAAATGTGAAAAAATTGATCTAATTGTTGAAAAGCTGTTTGTATTGCTGAATTGTACATTGTGAGTTGTGTATAACATTTCCTTCATGGGAGACACCACAGAAAGCACTTTTAAAATAAATTTTTTGCCTAAAGTGTTTTGCCAGAGAACCCATCAATTTATAGCATTATTTATTGACTGAAATAGACCCAAAAGGCCTGTGGTTGTTAATGAGTCGTTGGTCGTATCATTTTCCGTCCAAAGGAGGACTCCCCTATCAATCACAGCGGGACATGCTTCTCTGCTCTCTTATATTTTTAGTGAACTGTATACAGAACACTATGTTCTATATGTCTTCAACTTGATCAGAATTGGCAAGACGTTGTAAGTGAATGCCAAGAGCATGTGAATGTACCTGTATTTCCAGTGCCCAACACGTGCTGAAAAGGGTTATGGGGGCAAGAGGTGATGATTTGAACTGTCTAAATGTACTTTATAAATGAAACTAAGCTCTTGCAACATGTTTTTCATTTCTTTATTTTCTATTTTTGCACCAATTTTTTCAAACACAAATTAAAAGATGGTATAGTAAATGCAATGAAAATTCTCAACTCAATCAAGATTTAAATACAATCCTTGGCTATAATTTTTGGTGACATTTCAGATCCTTTCACATTCTTTTTTTTTATTTATACAGTAAAATAAAATTATAACTAGATTACGAAGTACTCTACAATCTATTTATTAGAAAACCATATATTTTAAAGGTCATAGGAAACAGTTAATCTACTAAAATACAATATTAGATATCATTAATGTTCATTCTTTGTATAGTAATATAGAAGTCGTTTTTCCATTTTGGCTATTTGTAAAGTATTTGGGAAAATAATGGGTTGGCTGGCTTTACATAGCGCATTTGAAAACACTCAAATCAATGCATAAATATATTCTCTACTCTAATTTAAATTCCAATATATGTACCAAACAAAATTATATAATTCACCCAATACATTTTTGTTGTAGTTGATTAATAAAATTGTATTGTAAAATGAATATGATCCATTTATGAACCTTGAATTAACTGTGAAAATATGTGACTGTGTTAGTCTGGAGCTCTGGTTTGCATTTGTGGTGGCACAGCAGCCTCTTGTGGACTGCATCCTCCTTGACACCAGTTCAAAAAACTAATGTGTGAAAGAAAGTAACAGTTCCCTTCACAGATTCTCTTTACAGGATCAGTGTGCATTCAGTGTACAGAAATCTGTCATCTAAATCACACGCACACACAAATGGTCCTCTTAAAGTAACCATTAAACATCAAATTTAAATGTTTACTTTGAGCTGGGATACATAACTTTCAAACCACACAACTGAACAATATAATAGAATCCAACACATCTCTCCGTCCATCCATTTTCTTTCCCTTAATCCGTTTCTGGGTTGGGGGTGTCGGCTGAGCTGCATCCAACACATTCCTATTTTAGGTAAATAAAGAATTTGTTTGCAACGTTTTACTTTTGCAAGACTCTTTCTGTTAGCATACACATTTATTATTTATGAAGAAAAAGCTTTGGTACCCCAACTTTAAATTAAATATGCATGTATTCTCTTGGGCTGGGTATTTATTTGAATATTTTTGGCAGAATTTTCCAATGTATTTCAACTATTTGACTGATATGACTCACTAAAAACCATTAATTGTTTAATGGGCTGCATGGTAAAGTAAAGAAAAACCTTATTGTTCAGGACACTGAATGCACATCTAGGTAAAGTAAAGAAAAACCTTATTGTTCAGGACACTGAATGCACATCTAAATAAAACTTTAAAAAATAAAACTTGTCTGGCCTCAGTGTGATAAGACTTCTATATGTATTTAAGTGTAAATACCACAACATAAATAGACCTCTTTTGTAGTTTTAACCAAAGCAAATAGCCTCCTAACTTGTTGAATGTCTATTATTTAGTGTTTTATGTTGATTCCAGCAGCAGCTGTGGTGGGGATGGATGCGCAGTTTTCACACAAACCTGTTCTGCACAGAGCTCTCGCATGATACTTAATTGACCTGGTTTCATGCTGGCTGCAGTGTGTAGTGTGAGGTGTTTTTGTGCCTTAAAACCTCTCCAAATTCCCTCTGTTTTGGCTGCCACTGTCCTGACGGGCCGTGGCGCTGCCTGTCTCCACAACTCCACACTAGCATATTAGTGTGGAGTCTCCGGATGAGTTACTGAAACAGCTCTTCGACTCCTCCAGGCAGCCTCCCCTCCATCCGCCATTTTCAGCCGATCCAAAGCAGGTAGAGAGCCTTTTAAACGCCCCTGTCCCGCGGTCTAATGAACAGGTACGTGTGCGTAAAAGTAGCCAAAAGTCGTGTGCGCGTAACAAGCCTCTCCCACCGGAAAGATTGAAGTGATAAAAGACTAGCGAGCACCTTACTCCAGGAAGCAGCAGCAGCATCGGGGAAGAGGAGAGGAGAGGAAACAGGCTGGGGGCAGACTCTTTCTTCGAGGGTAACAATAAACTATGTCTTGTTAGGCGTTTCGGTGTTAGAAAAGTCTGTTTGTTAAGTTCGCCTGTCGGATCTGGAACGACGTTTGACTTTAGTGCGCGTACGGAGCCACTCGGATCTATGTTTGCAGCTTGAACTTTACCAAAGAGGGTTTGTGGCCAAATGATATCTTGTCATAACTTCACTGAAAGGACTGTCAGTGAAATAACATGTTAAAAAAGAGAGAGAGAAAACCGCAAGAGTGTTGTGTTTAAAATGGGGTGAATTTAGTTTGGTGTTGGTTCAATGTCGCCTATTTATATAGTGATGCGCATGTCTAAACAATGGGGGCTTCTGTGCATGATAACTATGGGTTTGGATTGTCAAAGGACTCTCAAAGTTGCTGTTTAGTGATGTTGGTGGGTTTTGGATGATGGAAGCAGAAAGTGGTGTGAGTCTATAACGCTCTAGACACTGACCAGCTGCTTTTTGTGCTCCAACAATCGGGTCTTTGGCACATTGGGACAAAAGGAATTGAGGGGAGCAGAGCATCTGTTGGACGTGACTCGGACTTATGCACTTTTTCTTATTCTTTGAATGCTCTGTGCCCTGTATGCCAACTTAACCAACTTCTAAATATTGTCACTCCTCTAAATGTTTTACAAGGACTGCAGCTAACGATTATTTCAGTAATTATATCTATACATTTTTACTTCAGATGAATAAAATGATTTTTTCATGATTTCTACACATTGATTACTGCACAATTTATTTAGAATCAGAACTATTCCAAGCTAGACATGTGTAAACAAGTTATGAAAGTAAAAACTAAGCCTAAAATATTTCACATTCTTCAATCAGATTGTTGCATTCGGAGCAGTGATGGCACAATGCTGAAGTAATTGCCAACATTGGTTCTGTCTGTTTAGGTAGTTCTATAAATTAACGGATGAATTAAGGCAACAACATTAAAACTTTCATTTGGTTTCAGCCCTAAAATTGACTATATTTTTTGGGCAATAATTAGTTTACTGCCGCTCTAAAATCTTTTACATTCTCATCCCTCTGAAAAGGGGAAAAATAAGGTCCATTCTTAATTATTAGTTTGAAGCTGATCGTGTTTTAATGTATCAAATGCTAACTGGGTATTTTAGTTCAAATGGTTTATTGTTCCTCAATGCAGACCACATGCTGCATGTTTCAGCTTTATCAGTCAGTATTGGCCTCAGACTTCCCACATTCTTGGCAATTTTATGATTATTATTATTTGTTGCGTCATATTAATATGTTTAGATACATTGGTTATTTTACTTCATGACTAGTGCTGCCCCTTCTTTTCTGGAACATTATCATGAAGATTAAATACAATAATGTGCAATATGGGTCCACATGTTTCCATCGTCACTTTTAGCCCAGAACCTCATACTGTTCACATGTACAGTAGTTTCATCACTGTGAATATTGGAACCCCCAGAGATAATTAAGTACCTTTTAAGAGTGTATTACAAATGTATCTGCTGTTGCATATACATACAAGTATATATTTCTTGCAATAGTTCCCAAAGTGGGGGTCGCGAGATACTTTCCATGAATATAAAAAAGTGGAAAAAATATATAGCCCTTAAATATTTTTGTTGCAATTGATTTGATCCAATAGGACAACTTGTTAAATTGTGTTTAGAAAAGAGTTTGTTAAAAATATTTATATATTGTCATGAAATTTGTAATTTTGTCCCAGACATTACGAGATTACAACAGCGTCAATCCAAATGAAGGTTGAGATGGGGTAGGGGAAGTGCGGGTTTGCAGGAGGCAGTAGCACATTTATCATGGGGGTCTCAAGCTAAAACGTTATTTATAAGTAATGAGTTGTGCTATACTTATACTAATATTCACTTGTGTTTTGTGTACCTCATTCCTACTGTTTTGTAACACTGACAATTCAATTCAACAACAACAGTTCTCTCGCACACTTTAAAATGTTATTGATTGCTCCATAACAGATCAGAGAATCAAACAGTTCAAACACATGAAATACAATAATAACAAACACAGCCATTGGTCCAAAGAGGGCGGCGGATCACTGTCCATAAATGTCCATAAATGTCCATAATTGACCCGCTGTGGAACAAATAAAGGATGTCTTCATTATGAAAACCTACATTATAGTCCAGGGGCATGATATGAATTTGGATTGTAGAAAGAGCAGGTATCGCACACCAAAACATTAATTAATGAGGTGCAGATGCGAGAATCAATATTTCAGAAAACAAGCATTGCACGCTCAGCTCTGATGTCCAAAATATGTTTTTATTTATCCATGACGTTTTGGCTTTATGCATTTGGATTAACAGTGTTCATAAATGTCCTTAAATCTCCACACTGTGGGACAAATATCCTATTATGAAAACCTACGCTATAATTCAATGATTGTAACATGTAAACAGAATTGGGATTTCACAACTGTGTGTAATATTATGGACCCAAAATAAGTATGTTCTCTGTCCTTGCAGTTTCTTTGTGAAAACATGGCTCTTAGTGGAGGAACTGTGGAGACTGTAGATGAGGTCCCCCCTCACGTGTGGGCCGGTTTGCCAGACTATCTAAGTTTGGGTCATTCGCATGTTAATCAAAACCGCATCGGTGAGTACATTCATGAGCCTCGCCTGCATGTCGTTCATCAGAAAGTCTAGAGTGAAGAGCAGTGAATAGTTTACCTTCAAGAGGATGTGCCCCAACTCAACAGCACAAGTGATGCCTGAAAATGTTTTTTCTTTAATCAAACACATATAATTTTTTTTATTATACTTCCAGCCATTTTAACATGTATCAATAGAGGAAAAGTGAACAAAAAAAAATCAAAGCTTTTTGAAGGTGTATTATGTATGCTAAAAAAGTGCTAAAAAAAAGCTATTTTTGACAGTCTTATATTTTAAATATGGTCAGATTATCTATTTTTGATGTTTATAATTATTCTTTCTATAATTAGGAGTCTGGACCACTCAGCTCATCCCCAAAGGCAGAAAGTTTGGTCCATTTGTCGGAGAGAAAAAGAAAAGGTCCCAAGTGACCAGTAATGTTTACATGTGGGAGGTATGTCTGCACTCCCAACTACTTTTTCCTTAAACACGAGTTTCCTTAAACAGCCCATACCATTCCCCACCACTGTTTTTGTCTAAGAATCACACAACCTTTAATACTAAACAACAATGCTATAAGACAAACTTTGTGATAATGGGAGGATATATTTGCAGGTGCACTTTCCGAGTCGTGGCTGGATGTGTGTCGATGCCACTGACCCTCTGAAAGGAAACTGGCTGCGCTACGTGAACTGGGCGCGCTCCAGTGAAGAGCAGAATCTGTTCCCTCTGGAAATTAACAGAGCTATATACTACAAGGCTTTAAGGGTCAGTCAAAAAAATCTGTGCTGTGCAAAGAGTTGTTCTGTAATATTCTGCACAAAATATTATAATAATGTATTTCTTTTGGTTTTCAAATTTCACCTATCTGGATGATATTTTTTCTTTGGCAGGAACTAAAAACATAATTGAATACAAAATGCATATTCACTGTATTTAGACATAGTCATAATTAAGGCAACCACAATCTGTCTTAATTATGACCTCTGTATCATCTTTTCCTGTTCCCCTGATGCCAAAGCTCGTTTTTGCTTTCCCTTAAAAAAAGAGAAATCGCATGAACATGCTTTCTCATAAGTGCAGCTTTCAAAGCTTGTGACTACAAGAACACTGCAGTCCCTTCATGCACATTGCACTTAACAAGAATACTTGTTCAATGCCACAGTCACTCCGCTGTGCTACATGAGTGCTCACATTCACCAGGTGTGAATTCATATGGCAGAGTTTCACTCTACATTGTAACTAAACGATCTATTTTAGAAGTACAGATTGATTAGGAACTCTGACACAGGGAAGAAGTGGTGATTCATGACACAAAATAGAGAATTCATTATTCATTATCATTTAGCTGCGTGTTTAATTCACTTATGAATTATCTTATCTATATATATCTATATATATATAGATATATATATAAAATGCATGCTTATTGTCAAAGGTATTAGTGTTGTTGGTTTCAAGAGCCTTGATGAATTAATTCTTTCAACCAACATAAAATGAACTTGGGGTAAACCAATCTTTCGAATCCCAAGAAAAAGAACAATGTAATCCGTCTCTAACTTAGAATTGGCCCTCGAAAAAGTTTGGTTCTTTGAATAGTTTTCACATTCAGCTCTTAGCCCAAAGCGTCAAATAGTGACTCTCAAGATAACTTGTTTTCTAATAAGATGAAGCCTCTAAACACAGCATATGTTGGTCTGATTTATTCACAATGTTTACTTTTTCTCTTTGTTTTGGGTCATAAAAATGCAATTTTGATGGGTGAAAAAAGTTAAGTGCTTGAATTATGTGTTAATAAGACTTGTTAAAAAAAGTTTTACTGGTCGCCTTAACTTCCAGCAGCTTTGAATTGCTGTTACTATCACCACACAACATAGGGATGGGGCTGCAGACTGCCTCTTGCAGATTAGGGCGAAACTGTCAAATCCCTCGCCCCCTCCCGAAGACAGATGAGATGCACCGTGTGTCCCAAATACCGTGCGCCCTGTCCTCCGCCTCTGAGCAACCCTACGTGTGATTGGTGCTCCATCTTCCTCCTCTCCTCTTATTGTTGCAGCCCATAGGTCCGGGGGAAGAACTGCTGGTGTGGTACAGTCACAGTGTGCAAGACAAGCCCGAGGTAACAGCTGCACTAAAGAAGGAACAACGAGGCAACAACAAGACAAAATCAGCCAGAGTCAAGCGAGGTAAAGCTTGTTCTTCAACTAGTCCCACATCTGGGCTCGCCTTCTGATTATATACTTGCCAGAAAGTGCGATCAGACGCGGCCCGAGTCCATTTCTTTGTCGCTTCAGTCGAAGTTGTGCCGAGCTAGCGAGTGGAGGAAGGAAGGCTAATGCATTTCTGCGATGTGCTGCTCTCGACTTTGTTACTGCCGTCAAAGTATTTGCGACATGGTTATTAAGCATTGTAAGCGTATATCTGCGGCTAATATGCTATTCATTTACGTAATAGTTCTTACTAGACACGTACGCAGAACTGAATGTTGTTTTCCTCCTTCTGAGCCAAAGGAGTTGTCGAGGATGTGACCTTCCTGAGTTCTCAAAGCATGAAAAGCCATCCTTCCCTGTGCGAGTCTGTCTATGTGATGGCCTAGCATGTTAGCCGACTAGCCAAGTGCCTTTTTTTTTACACTTTATGCGTAATTCAATCGTAATTACGACAGAACACCATGTATAAATGGTTAAAAGTGTTGTATTATGCCGTAGACTAGTGAGCACTGCATCGGAAAGTACCATTAGCTTCGCGTAAACCAGTCTATCGAGTTGTTAGAGTTTAGCATCAGGCTACAAGGCTAGTTGGGTCTGTTGAGGCACGTAACGATACGTGACGATACGTCCATCTCGGTCTAATGTTGGCTGTCTGACCTAAGAGAAATGTTAACATTGTTTATAACAGATTTTTTTTATTTGCACATTAGTCTGCATTTCACTCATACACAGAGCAATATGTCGTTATTACGTTTAAAAAGTGGTCAAATAATAGTAATTACCCTTTAACTAATTATCTTAAATTATACAGTAGATATGTGTAAATATTATGAACACGAATGAAATGAAATTAAAGTTAACATGTGTCAGGACGCTGCATGTAATAAACAGATTAACCTTTTTCACCATGAACTTTGGACATGGTGTTGCCTTAGAGGAAAAAAAAAACTGATGGCATTTAAAGGCCTCTAAACGTTATTCATCTGCAACTATATAAGGTCTTGCTATCAACATCCAACTAGATATTATTCAAGTTAGCCTTTGTTTTAAGTAATCTGCTGGATGGCATTTTAATACAAAGCTGGGAAGGCTATCTGACTGATTACAGACTTGCATCCAAAACAGGTAGGCCTGGTCTATTGCTTCATGGTCCCGTGCAGTGAGGTGGCCTACACACCATCTAATGTTCTAATGGGCTATTTAGAGATTATATAAAACTATTGATGTAAATGTGAAAACGAATGGCCTGCTAAGACATAGCCTATACATACAAGCCATCTTATGTATACATTTCATTCTTTTTGTTTTATAATAATTGATTTGTAATATAAGTTGCATTATTATGAGAAGAATACAATTCTTCAAGAAATACAAAATGTATTCTAATTATTTTAATTGGTTTAAGGAGCTCTTGTATAACTATAGACTATACAGTTGAATGATTTAATCAAGCTGATGTAATTACTGTAAATGCTCATTTTGGAAGGCCATAGATGTAATTATGTTTCCCTGACGTGTTACTTTACATTGGTATTGTGTTGCTGAGTGAGTGGTGCTCTCCTATATGAATTGGGCTTTGTAGACCAGGTCAGATGACCTTGTTGACACACTCCACTGATGATGAGGTGCCAGGGAAGCCTCTTGAGCCTCAGGCTTACTCACCCAAAATAGTGTGCCGTTTGTGAGACTGGCAATTGAGGGCCTTAATTTGTAATTGTTTTTAGATTCTCATCAGCTCCAGCTTTAAGAACAATTTCATAGCAATTCAACATTATATGTTGTCCAACTATATTTTCTTTTGAGAGTCATTTTAAAGTTTTGATTTATTTTTCAACAATTATGTTCCTCTTCAACTGTACTTTGCTCCATATGTTTGTTTTCTTGCCTGATTCTAAGTGATGTGTATTTGACTTGCAGCCAGGAGAAAGCTGCCCGAGAAAGCCAGCCCGGCTGGTTTGGGTGGATTCGAGAAAGTGAGCACAACTGAGCTCAGTGCAAAGGAGATGTGGGATGGGGATGAAGGTATGTTTAGTCATGACACAAGTTATGTGCGTATAGTTGTTACATAGCTTGTCATCTTAAACTAAATGTACTTTCCTGCATATTTTAGGTGGCACTGAAGAGGATCAGAGGTCCTCTATAGAAATACAGGAAGCTCACGCCATTGCAAGAATGAACTACGGGGAAGTGGAGAGAGTCATGTCCGACAGAGGAAATGGACGGGAGGATGAGGAGGAAGAACAAATGGAGGAAGATGGTGATGAATTAGAGGAACACATCCAACAGAAAGATGCTCAGTATTCATTTGTGCAGGGGCAGCCTCGCCAGTCCGTGACCAGCACTGACACCAATAAAGAAAGCCATTCGTTTAACAGTGAGTCAACTCATTCAGGGCACAACGCTGAAATAGATCCTGATTATGACCCTGACCTTGAAGGGGACCCCCAGGGCTCGTATCCCTGCCATCAATGTGAACGCCATTTTTCTACCAAGCAAGGACTGGAGAGGCATCTACACATCCACGCCACCTCCAACCAGCCAGCCCAGGTGTTCAAGTGTAGGTACTGCAGCAAGGCTTTTAGCTCTCAGGTAGGGCGGCGAAGACATGAAAGGAGACATGAAAATGATAAAAAGAAGAAACCTGGGTCCCTGGCTGGAACTGCGCATCTGCTGAGTAATGTAGCACAAACAAACACATCAAGTCCTGACTTTACAAACTTGACAAGTCAATACACAGCCATAGGAACACAATTTTCAGGGGCTGTTTTGCACAACATGGACATGCAGAAAAAAGAGGTAATAGCAGACCGACCATTTGTAATGGATGAAAATGGGGAGTCAAAGGAACTGCACCCCTGCAAGTATTGCAACAAAGCATTTGGCACACACACCAATATGCGACGACACCAACGCAGAATTCATGAACGTCATTTATTGCCAAAAGGCGTACGAAGGAAAGGTATGCTGCTTCAAGAGGCGCAACAGCCCCCTGATGAGTCACCCAGTGCGAGCCCACCTCCAGTCTACATGCCAAGTGCAGACACAGAAGATGAGACAGACAGGGATGAATATGCTGTTGATATTTCCAAAAACATATCAGATAATTTGAACTACTATATTGATGGTAAAATTGTCTCAACCAGTGCAGCGAGTGGTTGTGATGTGATTGAAGTGGATTCAAGATCTGCTGCTCTTTTGGGTCTTGACACTGTTATAATTAATCCTAGTCCGCTTACTCAAACACTAAAGGTAGAGCCTAGAATGAGCACAACAAAGCAAGTATCTAATGTCGGGAAAAGTACAGGAAAACGAAGGACCTCTACCCCTCCTCTTATCCCAAATTTGAAAGTAGAAACAGAAACTCAGTCATTAACCGTTTGTCCGCCATCTTCCTCTTCAAGCCTGTCAGTTGTAGGGATGTTCCAGCAAGATGCCTCCTCCTTTCAACGTGAAAAAACGGTCTACCTTTCCCCTAAGCTAAAACAACTACTTCAAACACAGGACATGCAAAAGTCCACAGTCAGTCTTTTAAACGAAAGCCATAGACTAGCCTCTGTCACGCCCATGCAAGGAAGATTTAAAAGACGCACCGCTTCTCCCCCAGCGTCTCCACAGCTGAGTCCTCCCAATAAAACTGAAAAGTCAGATGGGTTTAATCCGTTTTTGCTCAAGGTGCCAAAGTTAGAAAGTCAAGTCAGTAGCGTGTCACTACTGCCTTGTATGAATGATAGAAAAGATGGAGAGTTCCTTGAAAGTTTGACACAAGGACATTCATCATCTAATAGCAGCAGTAATATTTGTAATCAACTACCATTAGACCTGTCAAATTCATGCAATCGAAAAACTGAGGCTGGTATTAAAATTCTTGGAGATGGGGCTTTAGATTTAAGCTGTCATCGTAAAAGCAGTGAACCTGAATTAAAGGGAAGCCCAGGTCCTCAGCCACTAGTCAAAAAGCGGAAACCAAACACCAGCATGTTAGAGAAAGTACTCATGAATGAATACGTAGGTCTTCCAATACCTGGAGACGAGAGCCCATCTGCCTTAGCCAACATACTTCCCTCTCGTTCTCCTATTATAACATCCGAAAGCACACACCCCTCTCCACCATCTTTGACCCCAGTTACGCTGAACCCATCCTCTCCCTCCTGCAACAGTGTGACTTCGCCAACCCCTCCCCCACCTGTCCTGCCCACAATCCCATCTCCCATAATGCCCGGGTCTCCTTTACTGAGGCCTTCAGAGTCGACAGAACAGAGCCCGCCCCCCGTACTCTCACCGGAAATGTCACCTAAATCGGAGGAAGAAGTTGACGCTGAAGTTGTCCCTTCACCTGAGGAAGAAATAATAAGCAAAGACACTAATGAACTGGAAATGGAAATGGGTCTCCAAGAAGAAGAAGAATTCAAATCCTCTCCCAGCTCCCCAAATGTTTCTGTAGATACTGAGTCCACCCCACAAGACACATGTGCTCCTGTTGAGACCACAACCAGTTTGCTAAATGTAAACAATGTAAACAATACGGACACAGCAGAAGATAAATCTCCAAGTTTTGATGATACAGATTCGTCACCTAAAGCATCAACCACATCCTCTCCTCCCCTCTCCCCCAAAGTGCCATCGCCAAAGTTAAAAATCCCAGAAAACATTCAAATTAAAGAAGAGGCACAAAATGGTTTTGACAAAAGTCCAGAATCAAACTTTACACCTGAGGATAAAGCCCCCAATGCTGACTCTGATAAAACTGCTGAGGAGGAAGATGACTTGGATTACTCTAAGACTTTTGTGTGTAATGTTTGTGAAGAGCCTTTCGACTCGATCAAAGGGCTTTCCGGACACATTACCGAGCATGCAGAAGAGTGGCCGTTCAAATGCGAGTTCTGCGTTCAACTTTTCACTGATGTCCCAGGACTTTTAGAGCACCGTTCCTCTCTGCACGGGGTGGGTACAATTTATGTGTGCTCCGTTTGTTCAAAGGAGTTTGCTTTTCTTTGTAATCTTGAGCAACATCAGCAAGATCTTCACCCCAAAACAACATGCACTCACACTACAGTAGAAAGTGGTAAGCTTCGCCCACAAAACTACACTGATTCTACCAGACCCAAAGATGAGAGCAGTCCTTCCACACCAGCAGCAGAAAATGTGGATGAAGCTTCAACAAACACTGAGGCGACGAGAGAGGAGACTGATATGAATGGGAAACATTCACAGGAGGAAGTCGAGGACCCCAACGAAGAGCTGTACACTACAATAAAGATCATGGCTTCTGAGGGAGGGAAGCCAAAGGGGCCCGATGTTCGTCTGGGCATCAACCAGCACTACCCAAGTTTCAAACCCCCTCCTTTCCCCTATCACAGCCGCTCTCACGCTTCTGTCGCATCAGCGACAAACTTTACAACTCACAATATTCCCCAGACCTTCAGCACTGCCATTCGCTGCACCAAATGTGGCAACAGCTTTGACAACATGCCTGAGCTGCATCAACACATACTAGCCTGTGCTAATGCTAGTGATAAGAAACGCTACACTCCCAAGAAGAACCCCATTCCCCTTAAAGAGATTGTCAAGTCTCCAAATGGAGTGGTATCGCCTTCTGCCGCTGCAGGGCAGGGGGCATTCAGGAGGATGGGCCAGCCAAAGAGACTGAACTTTAACACAGAATCTGGCAAAACAAAAATGAGTGCTCTGAGTAGGAAGAAGAACCAGCTGGTCCAAAAAGCCATCTCGCAGAAAAATAAATTTGCCCCAAGCCCCAAGACCTCTCCTGTAAAAGCTGAGGAAGAGCTGGTCTCTCCCAATTCGAACATCTGCCCACACTGCAGCCGCGAGTTCACCTACAACGCCAGCCTCACCAAGCACTGTTTGAATTGCCCTATGAAGCCTGTGGTGAAGAAGGGCAAAAAGTCAGCAGCAGCTGAGGTTAAGAAAGAGCGTACCGCCACCCCAGTGACCGACAAGACAATGAGCCTGAGGAAGAAGGCTGCAGAACCAGAACCTCTTCAGACTGAGCCAGAAGCCAAACCATTGGGGAAGACCAGAGCACGCAGCTCCGGTGCTGCTGAACCAGAGCCCACTCAAACCAGTAAAGGCAAAGGAGGTCCAGGACGGCCCAAGAGACCTGCCTCCTTATCAGAGGCCAAACCTCCTGCTTTAAAGAAGGCAAAGAAAGGCTCGCCTCAATCTGCTGCTCCACCAGCTATTGCCGAACCACCTGTTGACCCTTCACAGAAACCTGCCACGTCAAAACCTCAGCCCAAGGGTAAAGACACCGTGCCCAAGAAACCAGCAGAGCTCAAGACCCCTCCTGTGAAGAAGGAGCGCTTCTCCCTCCGCAGCAGATCGGGAGGTCCCATCACCCGCAGCTCTCAGGCCACATCTCCGGGGAACGCCGAGGAACAAGCCAGTGATGAGCCCAAAGACACTGTAACTGTTGTAGCGGCAGTTGAGACTCATCTTTTGCAGTAGTAGTAAGTAAGGAGGTGATCTTTATTTATATAGCACCTTTTACAGACCAGAGTCACAACATTTGTCTCTCACTCCACACAGAGATGGGAGCGGGGACGCCAGTACAGGGGCACATGCTAGAGCTTTTGTACATGTTTTTAGTGGTAGGGGAAACCAGAGATGCTGGAGGAAACCTACGCAGACACAGGGAGAACATGCAAACTCCACTCGTATAGCCCCTGTTCCAACCGAGATTCAAACTCAGGACCTTCTTGCTGAGAAGCGAGAGTGCTAACCACCACCACAGTACTAATTTTGGCACATTAGTCTTCTACTTATGTTTAGTTATTCTTGGAAGTTGATAATACAGAGATTCTCAAAAAATACAATACATTAATTTAAAAAATGGTAACCATTTCAGAAAATACAAAAACTATGCAAAATAAATACCTAAAATATTCCATATGTAATTAACCTATATTAAACGCTCACTTTGCGAAACAACTGACACATTTTATTTAGCTTTGTTATTCCCCATGAGATTAATCCTATATTTTATTTAAGGGGTCTTTTTGACAATATTCTCATTGATGTCTGTATACTGCAAAGCTACAAAAATCAGTTTGTCAGTCAAACCCTAATGGCAGAAATGTGTATTTATTCTGTTCCAGGAGGTGCCTGTAAAATGAGAGCCATATGGATGGATTATTGTGGAGTTTGGTGCTTTCTCTCTGTCCTGGACTGTGCTGACACGGAGGGAGCTGCTGTGGCCTCATTCACTTGAAGAAAAGTGAAGTTGAACTTTACTGCCTCGCTGGATTTAAGAGAAGGATTGTTCTGCATCTTCCAGTTATCTCCTGAATCGAACTGAGCCTTGTTTTTATAGCCAGCCTTGCAAAAATATTCATGATGTGTAAATGACAATGGATTCTTAATATATACAATGTGCGTCATTACTTGACCCAAAACAGTAATACGAGGGCTCAGTTATGTTTGAAAGCTGATCTAATGCAAATGGCAATCATGTATTATTTAGAGTTCGGTGATTCTGTATTTTCCTATTTGATTGTTTAGATTTTCCAATATTTCTGGATATGTCTCTTTAAAATGCATGTGCGAAGTAGACTGTACACTAGATCAAGCTGGGTTTTTTCTCTCGTCTTCTTGTGTCACTTCAGTTTGTACAATTATTTACAGTATAAATAATGTTCTGATTTAATCTTATGTAGTTATTTTATTATAGATTATGATATTGAAATGATTTGTTTGGCAAACAAACATGTAAATAGCAGTAGTTTACTGCAACAATTGGTCCTCAGGAACACTGTACAATAGTGCGAGGGTGAATGGATGGGTGCTGTGTGCTCCTCCTTAGTTTATACTGTCTCAGTCTCTAACTCACTGTAGTTTGACAGCTCGTCTAGGTTTAGAGCAATGGGAGGCGTTATTCTCATTAGTGGAGTTTGTCTCAACAAAATGATTTAAAATCCCTTACCTTGCCCTGTGTTTTGCAGCACTTTAAAACAGTTTGCCACAATGTGTCACTGGATCATTTTAATTGGTTTAATTAAACAAAAGAAGAATGTATCCGGATCTGTGGATGACAGCAGACTATGTACTGTGCACCAAATCTGTGCAAATGATCTCAAACAACTAACTATGCCTTCTGACAAACGTAATAGTTGTCAACTCTGAGAGATCCTAGCCTGACCATCTATTTTGGTATTTAGTATTTAGTGCAGTCTTGCAGACATAAAAAAGAACCAATTGATGCAATCCTTAAGTCTTTTAAGGCTGTTAAAGATGCAGCCCACTAAGCAGATACTAAGCCATAAAATACATGGAGCTCCATTTTGGTCAATGATGCTAAAGCAGGACAGTGTGGCAAAGTGAAATAAAGTGACTGCCGTTGACTGGTCTGGCTGGAAAGTACCGTTTGCCATTTATTGCTAAAGTGGCAATATTTTTCTAGCAGTATTTTCTGACTATTTTACAGGTTGTACAACAATACTGTATCATGATTGAACCTTTGCTTCTGTCCATACCTGTTAAGTTGCACTTCTACAGAACAATTATGTAATCCCAGCAGAGACTCTTTAACTATTCAGAATCAAGATGTATCAATGGTGAACAAGACAAATTTTCAATGACCTCAAGGGAGCTGTTGCTGTAATTGACATAATAAAACTTTTTCAGATTGTGTAAACATGAGTGATTGAATTAATCATTTGAAACCTTAATTTACACAGTTCAACAGTTCATTTTTATCTTAAGATGGAACTGCTTGGCAACACAGGTACAGTGAAATGTTTATTGTTGGGTTTTCAATGTGCAAAACTATTATTATAATTATTTGGTCTATTTTTAACATTTGTAAGCAAAAGCAATACTTTTGCATAAACATTGTTTCGGATGTGAATCAAAATTACAATTGTATAACTTTGTATCCAAGACATTTTATATCAAAGCAAATATGCATTGCAGTATTTCTCAAGGCATGGAGTTATGTACAATGAAAAGTCATAACCACTGTAGGTCAATTGATTTGTCTTAGAACAATAAGGTCGAGTCAAGGTCCTTTATCACCACTTTTGCATTTAAAACAACCTCTGTAGCCTATTACATGCTTTGTTCAGGGTCATACCAAACAAATTGATCAATAAATCAAACGTCTCTCAATCCATTTTTAGTTCTTATCCATTTCATTTTTATTGGTCAGTTCACATGAGCTCCATAAAACCTATTTTACCTCACTGATGGAAAGATCAGATTAAAGTGAAATTACTTTTTTAATTTTTATTTTAAGACTTGGACTATGCCTATCTGTTCATTTTCAAGGCTCACTTTTGTAGTTAAGGGCATAGATCTCATTAGAGTGAGTAGACATTTTATACTGACAAAGCAGTGCGTTTTGTATCATTTCTATTCCACCTTCCATATACCGCATTTTATAGTATTAGTATATACATTTTATAGTATGTAGAATGCTAATAATCTAATGTGCATAACTGATCATTGTCAAGCAGTCATGAAAAGATATGAATCTAAAGTACTACTACTACGAACTTCTCTCCGATTACATATTTGCATTATGGTGTAAATGTTGCAATATTATTCTTTTCTGTTTCTGTTTATTTATTCACATTTAGATCAGATAAAAAAATGTGGATTGTCAGCCTTAGTACATATATTCATACTAATTTATGTGAATGACCTCTAATGCAATACATATTTCCATGTTGCAGAGATGAGACATTCATGCCTCATATTCATATAAGGATTTCACACACTGCCTTTGTGCCCTTGGGCATGACATCATCCACACTGTTCTCTGTTACTTTGTCAGGTGCCACTGCTGCCAAACTGTTGTTGTGTCCTTAGGCAAGGCACTTCATCCCTAGTATGAGTCGGGTGTGTCGATGAATGTTAGTGGTCGGAGGGAGCAATGGCGGACACCGGTTGGTTATGGCTACAGTAGTAGTTTAACACCACTGTGTATGGAGTGAATGAAGTACGTGAAGTGTCTTTGAGCGTCTAACAGTGCTGTGCAAAACTGCTGCTTTATTCAAACAAATAATGGGGATTTATTCTGTTATATTAATTCATTTGCAGGGACAGTCCACAATAATGCACTTCAGTGCAATTACAGGTGTAAATATTGTTGATGTTAAGATACATTATTCAGTCAGTGTGCCCCAGGGCAGCTGTGGCCACAGTAGTAGTTTATCAACAGCGCCTTTGTGACCAAAAAGCGCCATATATAACTAATGTATTACTTTGATTGTTATTATAAACTGTTCATAAAATATTAAATAATCTTGATTTCAATTATGAGTCAAATGAACTTGATTTGTGCCATAATGGAGAAGCCGTCTTTAAATAAGCCGTCGGTTAAGTAAACCCTGCAAAACAACTTTGCGACAAATGCTTTCTTAAAATCCACACGTTCCTGTTTGTCCCAGAGCTGCAGCGTTTCCATCTCCTCTCATATTGTGAAACCACATGATCTAGAGTTATTCACACAGCAGAGGTCGTCCGCAGTCTGTCCATGCTGAGACTGCTGCATGTAACTTTAAATGGAGATTTTAGCCCCCTGCTCTGCCCGGGACAGAGGCCTTCACTTGTGGGAAGTGTGCTCTGCGAACACCTCTCAAGGTCTAACCTATTTTAGTATTTGAGACCGGTGCTCATCCATCACCCTCACCTGCAATGTCCCATCAAACTGGAATAGCATGTTCTTAAAGGGACAGGCCTCACCATCTATTCAATCCAGGAGTAGTTTTAGGTGTGGTCTATATGTATAAAGTGAGCAGAGGCTGTTTCCTCAAGGACACAACAGTGTTCAACTTTCGACCAATGACCTCTTTTACACAACAACATTTATTTTGTGACCATTTAACATTTACAGTGCTGCTATAAAATGTAATACATCCATATTGTAGTTTTAAAGTAAGTACTTTAAACTTGACTAAAAAAACAAGTTTTATCCTTATGGTGGGAGTAACCCATATCCTTAAATCAATCCATCGACCTTTTTTCAAATGCACTTTTCAAGACAAACATCCATCTAACCCGTTTGATCTGTAAAATAGACACACATAAACACGCTTCTCATTTATATCCAGGTAGATATTTAGTTGATATTTTGTCACCTGGTTCACTTCACCTGACATAAGGACATGAGGTTTTCTCATTTCAAAAGATATAGTAATTTTTCTAATATTGTAGCCACACATACATTCCCTTTACCTACACATGTGGGCGGCACAGGGGCTGAATAATAGCAAGCACTCTCGATTTTCATCAAGAAGGTCCTGGCTTTGAATCTCGGTTGGAACAGGGTCTTTCTCAGTGGAGTTTGCATGTTCTCCTCGTTCCTGCTTAGGCTTCCTCTGGGTGCTCTGGTTTCCCCTACCACTAAAAACATGCACAATAGGTAAAATCTCCAGCTCCGGTCCTGACCAAGCCGAGCCTCAACATCTAGAGATGGGTTTCCAGGATGAATTGCCCCACGGGGATAAATAAAGTGCACCTTTACCTTCACATGTACACATCACTGAAATGAGAACAATCACTTTTAAAAAGTTTAAGTTATGTTATACTATGCGACGAGAGTGGTGAAGTGTTTCTTTGCATTGTTGCAGCTCATATAGGAATATAGAAATGTGTTTTATTTTTAATTGCCTGTCAGATGCCTTGCCTTGCCATCTACTTGTGACTTGATATTGTACATTAATCAGAAAGTGCATGTTTGTTTGGACCCAGAGCTGCCTCCTCTTCAAGCAGTGGACAGTGTTTATTCTTTGGTGCCATGATGGTGTTTTATGATCTCATATGTGGAGACAGACCAACAAAGTGAAGAGTGCTTCTGTCAGGGTGAAAAATCCCTGCACTCTCTCCTGATTGCACCGTGCAGGACTGTCGCCATTCATAAAAATTCAATTGAATGCAGCCAGCTATGGCCAGCATGACTTCAACAATAAAAATATGTAAAGGAATAGATTGTGCTAGAGATATAGAGGAATATAGAGGAATACAGTATGTAAATGAGTGTGTTTGACTCTTAGTGCACAAGCGCCAGTTATGCAAGGTCCTAATTACCATGAGAACCTATATATTCCTATCTAGATCCCCCCCCATAGTGTTATATGCTTGTCGACCTTTCATAGGTAAAAATAGTCCATCGGTTTTATATTGTGTTTTATTGGCCACTGAAAGATGCTTCACATGTCATATTCATTCACTCCATGCCCAATAGTGATACTGACACCGAAACCCACCGACCACAACCAACCATTCACACAGACACCAAACCCATTCTAGGCAATGTGGACTATAAGGCACACCTGTATATAAGCTGCACTAGCAAAATTTTTACATAAAAATTTTGCCCATTATATAGGCTGCACTGGAATATAAGCTGCAGGTTTTCATGTTGTAACGGGCGGATAGACGACTGTTTTAACTGGTCACATGATTTAATGACCAGGTGTTGAACAGTTGAACTGTTGGCTTCCTTACTTGTGCTCATTCACCAATTTATTTTGACAATAGTTAAGTGTCCTATTGCTACTGTAGCTAGGAGTCAAAATGTTAAGTCCATAAACTCTACTCAAGTCCACAACTCTATCACAGTAAATTTACACATAACTGCCTCGCCATTAGGTGCAGGCAGCTAGTTAAAAAAACTAGAAAAAAGCTTTTATTCCAGGAAATTATAGTATTAATTCCTATTTAAATATACAGCCCACAATCAGCATACAAGATGTAGATGGTCAATAAAGGAGAATAATAAAGCTTTACGTGCATTCTTGTTCTCCTGGAATGTTCCACAGGAGGGCATTTGATGTTTTTCCACAGCTATAAACCATGTGCAAATGAACCGTCGCCATGGAGATATGTTCTTACATCATCCATGTTTTTTTTTTTTTTACATACATTTTTTGTGAATTCTTATTTTTTACTCATAAATATGCAAAAGGCGTGAATATCTAGGAGGGGTTGCTTACATTTGGACAAGATTTACTTTCCCTACGATCAAATTGTACTTATATCATTCATTTCATGATATTCATCAGGAAGTCCAGCTCAGTCCTGGGCTGTTCCCTGGACACAGTGCAGCAGGTGGGGGACAGGAGGGTCCTGAGCAAACTAACATCTATGCTGGACCATGACTGTTACCCCCTGCAGGACACTCTCTCTGCTCTGGAGAGCAGTTTCAGTGACAGACTAATTCACCCTCGCTGTGTGAAGGAGAGGTTCCGTAGGTCTTTCCTTCCTGCTGCTGTCAGACTGTACAATAAGAACTGCTGAGCCTGTAAATTTCATTCATCTGTAATTAAGTAAATTCTTAAATCATGTGCAATGTTCAATACTGCAACTTCAGAATGTCACAGAACAATGTCACTTTACCTCATGTCACTTTACCTCATGTCACTTTACTTTTTATCCTGCACTATTTAACTGTACAGTATATAACTGCACTACTACATATATTTTTTTGACTGGTATTGAAGTATTTTCAGCATCTACAGCTAGTTATGTTAGTTAAGAAACATAGCTACTACTTATTTGTATATAGTGTATATATTCTGTGTGATCCCTGTGTGCTCTTACTACTGTCCTATATGTGCGATGCAACATCAAAATTTCCCCACTGTGGGACGAATAAAGGAATTCTTATCTTATCTTATCTTATTTTGCACCGTCTCTGTCTCATACCTGGGACTGTCTTTCAAAGAGAATAGCATCAAAGTATATGATGGTGCAGGCATCGGTATGGAGAGCCATGATACCAGAGGTCAAAAGTCCTTTGAATTATTATTCAAGTAATGTCGATTATTGTTCCCCAACCTCGAAGAACACTGTAAATTGGTCTCATTAAAATATTTATTTTACTGTTGGCGAAAGTAGCCGCAAAAGGCGTATATCATATAGTTTTACATTCAAATCTCTTTCTGGTCGTCAACCTCTAGTTATTTGCAACATTTAGAGGACTTCTCCCTCTTCCTATTTCTATGTATTATCATATTAGTTTTTGAATTCCAATGAAAGTATAATACTCATATATATAGGCTAACATAAAACTGTAAAGGTCATCATTGCTGCTTGTACACAGTATATGAGTGGTTTTCTTTTGCCAAAATCACCTTGAGTTTCCACCTGAACTTCTGTTTGCTGTTATGAATCTCAACAGTTTTGTCCCACACCATTATATGTCCCTGTCGCACTCTGTTATTGTAGTGCTCCAGTGTTGTGTGAGGTTATGGCTCTGCTGGGCTTCCAGTAAAACTCTCTTATGTTGTTGTGGTTCAGAGGAAATGGGCTGTTAAACACAGAGGAGGGTTTGATGCAGCAGCAGCAGCAGCAGTGCAGTTTAGTGGGGGCATGTTTCTAGTGTCTCCAGAGGTGCCACCATGACAACTGCAGCACATAAAGTAAATGTTTTGTTATTCTCATTAAAGGATAAACAGGTTTGTCAGAAACATGTGAAGTCAATTGTTTATGTGTGGTGTCGATTTAAGTATATAATGGTGACAATAATTAATCATGAGGAACTTTTAATTGTGATTTCCTGAGAAAGTAATGTTTTTCAACTTAAATATTTCTTTTACCCCATTCTCCCTCGAAAGCAGTGTACTTTTAAGGAAAATAAATTAATAACACATTGAAAACAGTTCAACAATTTAGTATATTTTAAGTAATTTATTTTCAACATTTTGCCAGTGAACTATATCAACTCTCTGTATAAAATAAGCAACAACAAAAAATACACTTGTTATTTCTACTGTGAATACCGCTCTTTTCTTCAGACGTACTTAAATCTGTTCCTGACATCTTTGTTGTTGATCTCCAAAATAAAGCTGCAGTGATTCCCAGCAGCCGCATCAGCAGCAGCAGTAGCAGCAGCAGAAGCAGTAGAGGTGGTGGCATCCCGGGCTCTTGAAGATGAATGACTACTGTGATTTGCTTTGGGGCGTGGTGGAGACAGGAGCAGGGTTACGCACGGTGTGGAGATATGCTGATGTAGCCTGCTCCTGCAAATAGTACACGGTGTAAGCGCAGGGGAGGGGGGCGAGGAAGAGGGAAGGGAGAGAGGGAAGAGAGAGGAGGACACACGCACTCATCATACCACAGAACACAGAAACGCATCGCAAAACTCACTCACAGCGCGTTGACGTTGACCACCAAACCCAAACCACGCTGCGCTCCCACCACCCCGGCTGAAGTCTCCCCAATGCCCGTGCGCCTGGAGAGCACGGCGTGACATCCGACAGACCACAAACAGCCCGAAAAATGCTCTTCCAGGATCGCATAACTTTGTCCCCAGCGTGTTGACAGTCACACCCCCAGCTTTTTGCCGTCATAGCGCGGTAAAAGTGTGGAAGGACGCGAGAAAAAGGCTTGACCACCGCGCCACAGTGCCAAGGTAAGGGAAGCAGCGTGGTGACTTTGTTCTAACATAGACTGTATATATTAATATTGTTCTAACGCTTGCAGACTGTCACTAAATATACTTGAGCTGGAGGGAAACATTATTTTTTGTTTTTATTATAAGCGTCGAATTTCTTTGTCATATATCAGGCGAATGTGAAAATGTCAATGTTCCCAAAAATGTTTCAGGGTAAACGTGTGTCAATGGATAACTTCCCATTTTTGGCTATTTTTGTCTTTTAGGGATTTTTGGTGACTGTTTTAGAGTTTTGCTGTAACTCACATTTGTAGATTTCATATTATCGATAGGGCTGTGTGGCATTTAGTGGATTTGCTAATTCAATGAGCACAATTAGCTAATTGCTCTGACTGCCCTTCAACAAACGACTAAGTATCTCTAGGACAAGGACTATAGGCTACAAGACATTTATATTTAGGGTGCTAGTTAGCGTTGTCGAAAGTACTGGAAATCAGATATCAATCAATACTGAAATTGTTATCAAAAGTTGATCATTTCAGAACTGACCAATACCCAAGAAAAATCACAAACAAGACAATTTGATTGTCTCAGAACTAGTAAAAACTTGTGCTACTATTTTAAAAGTACTATACTGTTGCATTATTATTTATTTTTTCAAATATCACTGTGGTATCATAATGGATTTTGAGTATCAGTCTTTTTGTTATTATTGTTTTGAAATTTGACCATTGTGACAACACAGTGGAGTATTAGTAGTATTCACTAAGCCAATTAGTATTGGCTTAGTGAAGTAATTACAAATTCAATACTTTCTTGTAGTCTATTGGTTTTATTGGAGTTCATCTGCTCTTTGAAATAAAATTATTTTCAAAGTAAAACACCCTAACCCCACAAATCTTGTATCAGTTGTTATAAGTAATTGAAATAAGACATTTTGTTGTAGTCATCCCTAATTATCAAGTAGAGCAATATTCAGTAGACAGAGTTCTGGTAGGGTCCCCTTTGTACAGTCGAGGGCCATTCTCTGTGGCCCCTCACACTGATACATGTGCTCTTTCTTGGACAGCCATGGAGGACACGCTCACTTGCGGGCACGGTACCTTGTCCCAGGTATTTGGACGCCAGGGTCAGCTGATGCAAGCCAGTGAGTATCCGTGTGCCAGTCAGCAAAACTCACACACAACATCAGCATTTCTCCATTTACACAAAGCTATTTTCTTATTACGTTGCAACAATTATTCAGCACTTTGGTCTTGATTTATACTGAGACAGACTACTTACCTCATGCATTTGTATTTAGGTGAAAATACTTGAAAGGTAAGAATCAGTCTGTGTTGTGTTTCATTTTTTAAACAAAAGAGAAATGTTCCTGTTTTTGTGCACGTATGCAAAAGTTTGTTCATTAGAGATGCAGCAGGCATTTGGAGATGGAACCTCTGCAGCGATGTGCTGATATGGAGGTTCATGCTGTGGCTCAGGCTATTAGTAGAAACATAAATAAAGTGAGAATTAATTTAAGCTGCATGTAGTGTGGAAATAATGCTATTGTCATATGGATTAAAAGTGCCAATAATTGATCACGCCATTCCTTTGAGCTCAGTTGTTCACCATCCACGGTACAGGAGTCTTAGTACTGCACTCTGTCTGACTCATCACCCATACCACCAATGTTGTAAAACATTCAAACAAAGTCATCAGTCAAGCTGTCTTTATAGAGCTATTATATTCACGCTCTAAATAAAATAAATAAAGCACAAAAATCCAAAAGCACAATCAAGAGGATGTTGATTTCCATCCATCCATCTTCTTCCCCTTTATCTATCTCTGGGTCAGGGGGCGGCAGTCAGAGCTACACCCACTTCACAGAGCACCAGCCCCTCACTGATCCTCCTGCAGGTGGTGAGTCCACAGACGAGGGCTGCTCTGTCTGTGACACTATAGCCTGGATTTTTAGTGATTTCCATGTCACTAATATGGAGATGAACAGCTATTGTGCTTCATGTTTTTACTTAATGCTATGGATTGTAATTCCTCAGCATCCCTAAAGTTGGGATGGACCTTTCTGGAAAATTCCTCCTCAGTTTGTTTGTTTGTTTGTTTTTGTTTATTGTAAACATTTGTAATGAAAATGGAGGAGACCTCAGGTAGAATATTTCCTGCAATAAGTCAGGAGCTAATGGGTCTCTCAATAAAATGAAATGAAATGAAAATCATTGATGGGCTAGTGCCATGTGAATTGGGTGCAGCTGTGACTGAACCCCCTTCTCGACCCAGAAATGGATTAAGGGGAAGAAATTGGATAGATGGATGGATGTTATTGATATGTTACCGTAATATGGGCTATGTTTATAACATGTCATGACAACGACGGAGACAAATAGCAATGCGACTGACCATTTGATTCTTGATAAAAAATGACTGCGTGTGCTCGCTTTCACTGAGCAGCAGTGGCTCAGATCATTACAACAGGCTGAGCGCACTACGCACTCTACGGAATATGCACGCGGCACACTTCAGCATTCTGCGTGTGACCACAAACAAAGAATATATCAACATTCTGTCTTCATCTTCATGTTGTCTTCGGCATAAATGTAAGGGGGAAGTGGTGAAAGACTCGATTTGAAAGATTGATCAATTTGATTCTGATATGTCTGTCTGATTTGTAGGGCCAAGTGTTGTGTGGTATCTAAAGAATGTATTCAATGAACGGGGCAGGCATACTCGTCTAGATATTCAAGCAGAAGTTTTATCAATACATGCTGAGGCACGGACAACTTAACCTTGAGGCATGTGTAAGTGTTATTATGTAATACTCGTAAATACGCACACGCACGCAGATGCACGCACACACACCGAGGCAAAGAGGAGACTCGGAGAAGAACATGTCCGCCTCCTGCCTTCATCAGCAGCTGATGAAGTCACGCTGGGAGAACTTTAGCCTGCTCTTTGATGGTTCGACACGACGCTGAATGCAAACTAAGATTTCACATGGAGTTAATAGGAAGAACCCCAGACAGAGCTGTCCTTTTCAGTCACAATATCTAAAGATGCAAGCGAGGAATTCAAAGTATTGCCTTAGTCTTATTGTTATTATTCAATTATTCAAGCTCTTTCCCTCTGGAGTTGCCTCAACAACTTTTGGGTGTGCGGTGAATCACGTACTAGTTTTTATGATGATGTTCTTTTCTGGTGAAGGCTCTCTGGTGCGCATTTTGATGTGCATGTTTGTAGAATGCACATTGTAAATTGGTAAAATGAAACGACAGTTGTAGCGCCACCTGCATGTGAAAGCCAGGGCAGCTGTGGCTACATCAGCAGTTAACCACCCCAGTATGTAGTGAATGAATAATATCATTTGAAGCGTTTTTGGGTGTTATGAAAAGTGATATAATTAGTTTGCATTATTAGCATTATAATTTTTCTCTATCCATTTGGCAAACACCACAGAAACTGAGTGACATTGTTTTTTGTGTATTTTCTCTGCACTGCTTTGTGATAATGTATGCTGTACAAAACTATCCTTGTTCCATCGCTTTCACTGCCAAGCATCTGTTATGGTCAAGGCAAATAATTATCCATTTAAATATGTTTGATGTGTTGCCAAGCATTCTCAATGAAAGTTTGACCATGTTATTCATTTCATTTTCATTCTGACGTGCTGATGGAAATGTTGGAATCACTACAGAAATTAGCTAAAAAACCGTAAAAATAAGATACGATTTACTTTATTGATGAAAAATGGATATTTATTAACAGTGCTAGTCTGTTGCTGCACAGATGAGAAGACATGTTGTGTGTTTCTTATTGGAGGATTGTCGTGTCGCAGTGATACGGGGAAGAGGAGGCAGACTGAGGCGAGACAGTCCAGGCTGGCTCATTAGTGATGTGGGTGTGAGACTTTTCACTATAGGATTATTAGTTGGGGGAGCCATCTTGACAAAAATAATGCCTATGCTATGTCAACGGGGATATTTGAATGTTAATAATCCAAAACATTATTAGTCTTGAAGTTTGTAACACACAACAAAGCATCACTACTGAATACATATGAATATGCAAATAATGACTTTCACTACATCTGTCTTTTCTGTAGAGCTGAATGTGTTCTCGAGGGTAAACGGCACGTTGTTTTGTCTGATGTCTTTGTTCCACCTCTTTATCAGAAGCTTTTATAGATAAGCACTCTGTTTGAACCTATCAGGGAGAGTACATTGCCTTTAAAGTGGACTCATTAATATTCTGCTTCTTCAACAAATGGGGTATAGCTGGTTGGCAATGATCTGCTGCTTTTCTATCAGTGTCTTTGTTTGGCAGGATAACTATGTTGTCAAAAAGTTTCCATATTTTAACAGATGAGACTGAGATTTTGATAGTGAAGGAATTTATAGATGTCTTGCACTTGTATTGAAACTAAAACACCATCAATTGTTTCCTGTTTTGTTTCTTTTATTTCTGAATTTTAACCCTGTTTTATTCATGTACTTGTCTGGTGCACACCGGGGGTTTTTGCAATTGTATTCCAATGTGGTTTTACTGCAAATGGCAAATAAAATTAATCTGAATCAGCTTTAGACTTCTCTTTAAACAACTGTGAGATAAGGTTGGTTTAAAAAGTGCATTTAAATATTGAATCCAAAAAGTATGTGACGCATTGATGCTAGAAATGAATTCATGAGGCTATTGAAGTATGAAAACTTTGCTTGCATCGCTGCAGGGCATAGCAGTACAAAGAATCTGTAAGAGAAGAACTGGGTGTGGTGTGGATGGAGCAATACTATGTCACTGAACCACAAAGAACCAGCTTTGGGTTTACTCCAAAGAAAGTTGAATAGATGGAGTTTGTTTAGTTATTTCCTTGAAGGTTCTTCTTGTCATTCTATCATCAAAATCTGGTCTAATTTCTATCATTATATGCAAATTTATTTTGACAACAATCCTATGTTTTTTTTTCTAGTGTTTTCTTGCAGAAGAAAGAGTCTAATCCCAGGCCTGGGCACTAAAATGTCTATTTGTCTTTTTTTGTGACAGATGATGTTTTATGTTTTTGTATTTACTATTCACAAATCTGAAGGACTGCTGTTGTTGTTTTTATTGTACATTGTACATTATTGTATCCTGCATTTAACATGTTTGCACATTTCCTCCCTTTTTGCACAATCTTGAGTGTTCCTATCCATGCCAAATGTGACATGTAAATTTATCCTTTGTGAGATAAGATATAAGATAAGATAAGATATGCTTTATTTATCTTTATCTTATATCTTATCTTATCTTATATTACCTTTAATATTAGTCAGTTGATGAGATGTATGCATTTACTCGTTGAAGCCCTTTCTCGGCTCCGTCAGGTAATCTGGCTGCTCACATATAATAGATGAAGTTGCTCAAACAGCATTTTTGAAGCTGCTGGTGCTGTGTATTTGGCCTGTAGCTAAGAGCAAAGGAAATACATTTGTGAACGTTCTACCTTTCAACATAGGAAACAAACAGAGCAAAGGAAAGGGAAAGGACAATAAGATTGGAGAGTGTTATTTTACTTTAATAATAATAATATCATATTGAATGTACCTATGTTTATTATTAGTTAATAATGATTTGATTAGCGTAAATATCCAGGAGCGTCTATTGCGTATATGAGTAAATGAGCTCATGAGCTCTACTTACTGTGAGTAATAGACAAATGCATGAATGCACTTCCATTCTGATGACATTAGTCTTCAAAAAAGTATTTTGCTTTTCTGCCGTTTTTCTGTGATAAGCTCTTTTATCAAATGTGATACAAACACATTTGGCTGCTCAGGGTAGAGATCCAGGCCCACTTGCATTTAAAATAATCTACAATTATTGTAAAGTTGTTGGAGTCAGGAAAATTCACATAAGCTGTAGTCAAATGTTCATGTCGATGGAGAAGTTGTATTTTTTTGCAGTGTAGTTTGTTCTTCTATTTTTCACAAAACCTGGCAAGTCAGTCTGACCTGTGCGCTCCAGTGATGCGGTGCTTTTGGGACATTGTGCATCTTTCAGGACGTTCCTGAGGAACTTGCTGAGGACTGTGGATGTCTCCATTTTCCAGTGGTTCACTGAGATCTGCACGAAGGTCAAGGTGTTGGATTAAGGCCAAGCTTCAGCTCTGCACTGGGACTG